ATTTGAGGGTGTCTTTTCCAACTAAGTTATAAATGCTGCATGTTACTTTTGATTTTTTTTATTTAATAAACAATTTCAGGTAGATGAACAGTTGACATGAAGCCTTTAATTCCACTCTGGATCTGATGCCACATACAAAATCACCCATGCTGTGCTCATGTTTCCTGATAGCAGGCAGCCAATGTGGTCATGGTTCTGAAGGCTCCAGGTTACTCACAGAATAGGATTTTCCCAGCCTCCATGATAAATGAGAGTTTCACATCTATAATTTCCCAGAATTAGTTTAGGTAGCCCGATTGCCGGGTAAAACTAACTGTTTAATCAATAGTAAGCTTTCTTGGACTCAGACCTATAGTCTGAATTTAAATTCCTAATCTAATTGAAGTACTGTAAATAAGTAGCATTTATACAAATTTGCTTTTAAGTCCATCCACTAATTCTGATATGGACTAATATCACAGTGAGCTCAGTTCATTCTGATTTTTAAAATTTATATGGAATCTTAGATAATAACCATCAAACTGTAACGTTTCATTTTGATATGTATCCAAACCAACAATAGCTACCAAAAAAAACCCCATAGAAACGGAATAATCCTTTCCTGTTTAACTGCATTCTACTAAATGTTTTAAACTCTGGAAGGGACCTTTGAGTCCATTGGTCAGGGCTCCCTCCCTATTTCACCATGGAGGGAACCCAGGCACAGGAAGGTCAATGACTTCTCTGAGGTACTTGGAGAAACAGGCAGAGCCCCTGTCCATCACAGCTGATCTGGCCTTGAGGGAGGAGGCACTCCCCAAAGGAAGACAGAAGCAAGTCTTAACATTTCTTTACTTCTCAGGCTAACACACAGGCTCTCAACGCAGGGCTCACACCCTTAACAAGCAAGCATTCATTACAGAAGGGAGAGCTATCTCTGAAATGCAACTGAGTAGCTAAAAATGTACCAATGCGCACTTAGAAACAGACCATGCAGCATCACCAGGATCCTCACTCAAACCAAAACACTCTTTAACCAAAACGACTTGTCATTTGACATCACACATCTCTTATGTAGCTTACTGTAAACCTTAAGTAAACCATGCAGGTTATGCTCTAATTTTCTTTATCAAAAATCTTTCCTTTTCAGCTTTTAAAAGCATTAAGTTCTTCAAGCACACAAAAAATGAATTTGCCAGGCATTTTTTTTCTCTCCTATAAGTATTAGTGTTTCTTTTTTTTTTTTTCCCATTACTAGCAATAGTTCAAAGTTTCCGTTAAGTGCCTTGACGTTCCAATTGTTTGTCTTCTCCAAATCAGATAAAATAGTACCGTTTTCCCAAAAGGGAAGTCAGGGATATTTTCTCTTTACAGGTATTTATCATAGCATTTAATTTCAGATATAAAGATCTATCCTTTAACTTGTATCTTTAATATGGGAAACTAGTTGTGTGTGTGTGTTTTTTTTTTCTTTTTTTTGGCCATAGACTCTAACTCTGAACTCATCATATATATCCTATGTTAAATATCCTGAAAAATTTCCCTGTAGTTGTATCATGGTATAAAATCATACCGAATGTTTTTAGAAAATTAATGACTTTGATATCAAACACCTAAATAGAATCAGGTTTCTATCAGAAAGCAATGTCTTGAATTATATACAGGGAATGAGAGCAGAGAGATATAGTGACAACAGCCTATTGCTCAAGCAGAAGCTGATTCTTCTTGCATCACATAGCGAAAGTTCTAATAGGCAACGTTAGAACTCTGAATAATACCAAATAGTCCTAATCCTTAAAACTTTCAAACAGGGGGCGCCTGGGTGGCTCAGTGGGTTAAAGCCTCTGCCTTCGGCTCAGGTCATGATCCCAGGGTCCTGGGATCGAGCCCCGCATTGGGCTCTCTGCTCGGCAGGGAGTCTGCTTCCTCCTCTCTCTCTCTGCCTCTCTGCCTACTTGTGATCTCTGTCTGTCAAATAACTAAATAAAATCTTAAAAAAAAAAAAACCTTTCAAACAGAGTTGTTTAGGTTAACAGGTCCACAGGATAAATATGTTCATTGTAATTCAGCTTTTTTGTGTGTGTGGGTGCAACATTTTTTTTAAAGATTTTATTTATTTATTTATTTGGTAGAGATTACAAGTAGTCAGAGAGGCAGGCAGAGAGAGAGAAAGAGAGGAGGAAGCAGGCTCCCCGCTAAGCAGAGAGCCCGATGCGGGGCTCGATCCCAGGACCCTGAGATCATGACCTGAGCTGAAGGCAGAGGCCTCAACCCACTGAGCCACCCAGGCGCCCCGGGTGCAACATTTTTTTAAAAAGATTTTATTTATTTATTTGATCGAGAGAAAGAGAGAGAGATCACAAGTAGGCAGAGCAGCAGGCAGAGAGAGAGAGAGAGGAAAGCAGGCTCCTCCTTGAGCAGAGCCCGATGTGGGGTTCAAGCCCAAGACCCCAGGATCACGACCTGAGCCTAAGGCAGACACTTAACCGACTGAGCCACCCTGGCGCCCCTATGTGCACGTGCAACATTTTACCCCTAATTTCAGTGACCAGAGGACTCGGAATTAGGTACACATCTGATTGCACATACAATTAAATACCCAAGGGTCTGCCAAGTGGGTGGAAAGGGTGACAACAAAGACATTTGTCCCAACTGCTCTCATGGGCTTTTTTCAATAGATTCTGCTGAACGATTTTTTGTTGTCGTTATGAACCAAAACAACTTGATAAGAACAGAAGAGTCACTGTATTAGAAACAAGAGAATATAATTAGGGCGTGGTGTTAAAGGATAGTTTCCAACACTGGGTCACAAAATGCCCAGCCTCCTCTCTTCTGGGAAAACTGAGATTTGGGGAAGGGAATGGAGATTCTGTATTGCAATGTTTATGGGAGGGGAATGAGGGTATGAGGGGAGTTCGAAAAATTTTATGTCATCTCTGAAGTTACCCTGAGCAGGCTGGTGCAAAACAATTTGAAGTGGTTTCCATTCAGATGAGGCAGAAGGTGTTTCTTTTATTAGTTAAGGTCATAAAACTTTTAATCAGCTTAAGCCCTTGTGGGTGTTTTAAAACCATTATCACAGACACACATGGAGATCCCATATTTTCATCCGGAGGTACTGTAATCTGTGTGCTGAGGAGGAGGGGAAGTGAGCTGGGCTAGAAGGGTGGACCTCAGGACTGGGCACCATGGCTGCACCCCTCCTATTTGCCCTCTGAGCTCCCTTTGTGAAACTGTCATTTCCCTCCTCCTGGTCCTCTCCCACTTTTAGGGTAAAAAATGAAAAAAAAAAACAAAAACAAAAAACCTTGTCGTTTTCAGCCAAAGTCTCTGGGGTTTATTCCAAATTACCCCCCCCTTTTTTTTTGAGATTTTATTTACTCATGAGAGACAGAGAGAGGGGGAGAAGGAGGCTCCCCACTGAGCAGGGAGCCCGCCCAATGGGGGACTCGATCCCAGGAACCCGGGATCATGACCTGAGTCGAAGGCAGGCACCCAACCATCTGAGCCACCTAGGTGCCCCGAAATTACCTTTTGACAGGTAAATGTGTTTTCTCAGCATTATTTCCCCAGCTATGTTCTCTTTGCAAAACAGGCGGCCGGTGGTGGCACTGCTCAGCCTGGGACCCCGGGGTTTCCACCTTCTTTACTCACTGAGCAACAGAAGCAGAGGTCACCCAACCTCTGTTATGTACACCGTGGTTCCAATAGTTTATGCTATGACCTCCTGCCTTTAAGAAGGTCTATTTTCATAATAGATGTGTATTTACTAACTTAAGGGTGTTAGTAAAAGACCACTGTGTTTGACTCATTGGCACGTATGACTTCGTGGCCAAATGTCCTCTATAAGAAGCCGGCTTTGATAGGGCAACATATGGTTATATAGTTTTTCTTCCTCAATGATTCTTGTTTCTAAAATGCCGCTGAAATTCCCAAGTGGAAGCTGTTGCCTTCTAACCCTGTTCCTGGGCTAATCCGGTCCCACGGCATGCAGCAGTGAGGTTTACCCTCTCAGGGGTCAGTGTGAGGGTCAGGGAGCTGTGGGGCTTCCTCCAAAGCCAGCTCTCCTACTGGCCAGCAGGCAAATTCCAAGGGATAGAAAGGATTAATGGCTCCAAAGAGGATTCTGCAGCCCTCCCCCCAAGGAGATCTAAAACTCTGGTCTAGTTCTGGAACAAACAAAAGCCCCTGCAAAGGAGAAAGTGCCTGTTTGAATAGCTTATGTCCTTCCCAAAGCTTGTGCGCCTTCCAGGCTGACGGGGAAGAGCCCCTTGCAATAGGCAAGTGGGGGCAGTTTCAATGTCTGGTTTCCTAAGTAGGGTCAGCACTTGTGGGGAACGTCACCGAACCCCAAACCCAAACGTCTTCTTGCTGCTTTTGGTAACTAATTGATGAACTCTGCCAAGAAGCTCAATGGCGTTCCATAGAGAAAGCACTTTGCACAGACTTCGCTTTGCACGCTATCCTAAGCTTAAGCCCCAAAGGATTAAGGTAATATAACCTGCTTACATCTTCCTAGTTTTGTCCAGGAAACCAAATCACCACCCACACAGCAAAACAACTCCCCCGGCCCGACTTCATTTCACCTCACCCCCCTTTCAAACTAACCCACGCAGAGAGTGGGAATCGCTGGTAGCGGTGGGGGCACGAAACTCAGATTCCGTGTAAACACGCCCCAGCAGCACACGTGGTCACCCATTAACTCGGAGGAATCTGGGGTCACCGTGGGACGGTTTTCTATTAATAGGGGATAAAGCTGCTGCATACATTAGCGGTAATGCCCTGGATGCCCGCGCAAAATTAACTCCTCCCCGGCCAGCAAGAGGAAACCATGTTCTGCTTAAGCAGATGTGTGCTTGAAACATGCATGTGCGCACGCACACACACACACGGGGTTTTTGGAACCCCTTCCCTTAAACGTGCCAAATCCCACTCCCATCCCCAGTCCAGGCGATTGCCGTCCTTCCCGAGGGATGTCTCCCGGGAGGGAGCGGTAGTAGCAGGAGAAAGTAGTGTGTCGGTCAGCTCAGCTTCGCCACGCAGACTGCCAGGGCCACAGCCGCCAGCAGCACGGCGCTGAAAACGGTGGCGGCCAGGGCCTTGTTCGGGTCGCAGTGCCCGGTGCGCTCCTGGACGGACACGGCGCCCACCGAGGAGACGCGTACGCTGGCGCTGGACAGGAGCTCGGCGCCCGCCGTTTGCCGGGCCTGCACCGTCCAGCGGGGCACGTTGACCTTCATCTCCATTTCTTGGATCATCTCGCTCACCTGAAGGATCTCGTGCTCCAGCTCGCGCAGGTCGTCCACGTCAAAGTTGCCCTCCGCCTCGTGCCGCAAGCTGCGGACGCTCAGGGCGCGCGCTGCTACGCCCGCCGAGCCGCCCGCCACGCCTGTGCGCACCAGCGGTCGCCGCGGCGCGTGCAGCGGGAACGCGGTGCCCAGGGCCAGTGCGCGCCTCATGTCGGCTTCCAGCAGGTCCAGGCAGCCGGAGAAGGACACCCAGAGGCGCTCGAACTCGGCGCGCTCCTCGGCGCCCAGGCCCCGGTCGCGCAGCGCGGCCGTCAGCTGGGCGCGGGTGGCCACCGCCAGCTCCTGCGCCTTCCGGCGTGTCTTCTGCAGTTCCTCGCGCAGGTTCTGCGAGTCTGCCGAGCCGCCCACGGTCAGCACCAGGTGGTGGTAGCATGCGGTCGCCTTGTTGAGAGCGTCCAGCAGTGCCTTGCACTCCTCCCTCGCCATGGCTGTGCGCTCTGGCGCAGCCCGGCCGCCCGCGCCCCTCTCGGTTCCACGCTCTCAGCGCAGCGGGACGCTGCCAGCCCCGACGGCGGCTCCCGGCCGAGCGGCCTGCGCGCTCCTCATGGCCCGAGACTGGCTCGGCGCTGCCGATGTTGTCGACGAAGCCTCTGGAGACCCGCGACGTGAGCCTCTGCGGACCGGACGCAGAGAGTCAGCCCAGTTAGCTATCTCCCATCCCCTCATCCATCCTCCCCCGATTTGCTTGGAGTCACACGCCTAGTTTCTGCACCGCCCTCGCCTCCAAGGAGGCTCTCTGCGAAGCCCGGGTTGCGGTCCCCATCCTTCTCCGGTGCCGTCGCCAGGGCTAGCCGGCCGCGGAGCCGCGCGCTCCGCCTTAGCCGCTGCCCAGGGCTGCGGGGTCGGGTTTCTTAGGATCCGCCTACCCCCACCCGTCCTCCGAGGGCGCTTCCATCCCTTAGACAGTGGATGGGCGGGGCCCCGCGCGGGGAAGTCACGTGTAGGTTCCCCCATCTCCTCCTTCTCTTCTCCCCGTTACAGTTCGGGAATACTAGGGCTCGGCAGTTCCAACACTCTGGTATCGTAAAGACTGGGAAACTGAGGCCAAGGTTAAAAAAAGTGGGGGGCCTAGGTCACGCGATGTCCATGTAAGTGAGGGAATTTGAACTCAGGGACTCTAACTCTCAGACCCTGCCAGCGACGGAGTGGTGTGCCTCGTAGGACTGGGCACCTCCGTCCTCCAAAGCTAGCAGTAAAGGGCAGTTCTCAGGGCGGGACAGCTCCGGGATTTCGCCATCGGGATCCAACCCACTTTCCCCGAACGAAGCTTGGATCCCACCTCTAGTGTCAGATCACCTTCGGCCCCGCCCCCTCCCGTTCCGGGCACGCGCAGTCGGCTACTCAGGGCTGAGTAGGAAGCACCGTGCGCCGCCTGAACCCCACCCCGGCTGGGCGGACTCAATGATTGCTCTGCGCACACGTCACTCTGGATAAGGACGGCCGCTCATTGGGCTGACCAGGTGCGGCTCCGCCCAACGGCGGAGTAAAGAGGTGGGCGGTGGAGCAGAACCGCTGTGCTGGGGTGGTGGGCACCGAGGTCCGAGTCCGGGGCACGGGAGGCGTCGCCGCTGCTCCGAAGAGGACAGGGAGTGAAATTATGTAGCCTTTTAAGTAAGTGTCCTTCCTCCTGTCTCATCCCGCGCCTCCCTTCTCTCGGGACGGTTGCGCCTCGGGGCCTAGAGGCCGGGCGGGGCCCGGGAGCTGGAAGGGGGAGGGGCTCTTTCCTCTCCGCGGCCAGCGCCCCGCGGCGCCCCCAGGCTGGGCTGGCTGCCCCTGGGCGGCACCCTTAGACCCTAGCTCCTCGCTGGCTGGATCACCCCGCCTGCGCTTTGCGGGTCCCGTCGTCCGCCAGGCTCTCTCTGCCCCTGGAGTGCGGGGTGGCAAAGAATGTGCCCTCTGACCCTCGCGACTGCAGGACGGGCCAGAGGATGCGGACTCCTGGGAGCTCGGACTTGGGGGCAGTGGGCGGGGCAGTGGTTCAAGAGCTGAGTGGCCTCGGTGGTTTGCGGACCGCCTGGCGGGGCCGCTGGAGGGGGAGGATGTAGGGCGGGGGTCCGGAGCCTCATTCCATGTGGTCCCTGGGGGTGGTGAAGGCGCAGGGGAGGGAGGAGGGAATCCCTGCCTGCCAGCCTCTTGAAGGGCCGGTCTCCTGCTGGGTAAAAATTACTCCAGGAGAACTTAAGCACCAACAGATATTCCGGATTCTGGGTCTATTCAGTTCTTTTCGTTGCACATAGACTGCCCAAGGTGGGCGAGCTAGGCATGGACCTTGGAGATGTTAGGGACTTGGGCACTAGCAGCCGGTGCTGGGCCACGGAGCAAATGACGCGTCTTCATTGAGGATTTAGGACATTCAGGGAAGGAGGGGCTGGTGAGATTGGAGGGTCTACTAGTTTGCATGCGAGCTGGGGGTTTCCAGGTTTATGGGGTTCATGGGCAGAGGCTCATATTTTGATTAGCTCACTTTCCCACCAGCCCCAGAGAAGAGCAGGGGGTCTTAGTGGGATATTAGCGTTTGAGTTCACCTTCCCGGGCATGGTATTGAGGCGTTTCAGAAGATCCAGAGCGCTGGGCCCCAGGGCTGCATCTCACTTTGTGCTCTGTCCTTTAATCTATAGATTTGGGGCTATTTGTGGCCGGGGTTTGGATGTCCCAGGCCTTGGCCATTCTCCGTGGCGGAGGGTCTTCGCCACCCACTGACCAGATGGGGGCCTTAACAGGGAAAGAGTAGTTTTCAAGACAAAATGGATAGAAGGAGGGAGAACTCATTGCTTTGGGGAGCTTTAAGGACAGTGGAGGGATATGAAGCTACAGAGATGGGTGGAAGGCGGGATTGAGAGTCCCTTAATGCCAGGAAGAGAAACTGAGAGTTTATCTAGTAGGGAGTGGAGGGGAAGTCCTGGAAGAATATAGTAGCCCACCCTTTAGTCCATGGGGAATGTGTTCTAAGACTCCCAGTGGATGCTGGAATCCTCAGGTAGTACCAAACCCTATACTCCGTTTTTTTACCCCCTATACCTGTGTACTTGTGATGTTTAATATCTGAAGTAGGCAGAGTAACAAAAATAACAAAATAGAACCATTATTAACAATATAGTGTGATAAAAATTAAATAAATGTGGACTCTCTCTCAAAATATCTTATTGTGCTGTACTCACCTTTCTTGTGATGATGTGAGATGATTCAGTGCCTCGGTGATGAGACGAAGTGAGGTGATGGATATAGGTATTGTCATATAATGTTAGCTGCTATTGACTTGCTGACTCTGTGTCAGAAGGAGGACCATCTGTTCCAGACCCCAGTTGGCCATAGAGAAATGAAATTGTAAAGCACAACTGAGCATAAGGGGGACTGCTGCCCCACAGTAGACCTTAGTGTTGGAAAGATCGCTTTGTCGTCTTTCCTGTGGACCAGTCCCAGTAAGATCAGGAGGGCAGAGGCCTCTGAAGGAGAAGCGCAGGACGGGAGTAGGGACAGATACTTGTGTCTAGCCTCCGTGGCAGGAGAGCAGCTGAGGTTCTGATGTTGAACAGATCCCGTGGGTGAGCTCTCTTCACTCTGGCTTGCCACCGGGAATCACCCTGCTAGGCAGCTTCACTGGGAGAGCCAACAGTGCTGTCTGCATAGGGCTTGGGGTCAAGGTCTTGGTTGTGTCTCCTTGTGGCTCTTGGACTGTGTTGGCCTCACGAGGGCAACTACTGGGTCTTTGTTATTCACACGTCTGGGCACTATTAGTGTTTCTGTGGGGCCCTCCTTTTGTTTATGAATTGCCAGGATTAGGTTGGTGTCCGGTCGGCGGTAACTTGATTCTTTCCTAGAGGAGCAGAGGAATGTGACCACGTGAAGATAGATCTAGAAAGGATTCAGACCCAAATCCAGGGGTGGTTGTGCTCCTCCAAAGTCTTCCTGCTCCCTTAGTGGTCACACCCCTCTTCCAGCTCTGAGGCCTTCCCTCCCTGTGTGACTCTCCACATTCCAGCTGTCACTGTGTTTAGCCAGCTCTGAGTATCATTTGTTTCTGGCTTTTTGCCCGTGCCAGCATGGCTACCTAGGGCCGGCCCTTCACTCTCCCCTGGATTTCCAGCTTCTCTGAGAGATGACGTCTCCCTGGGAGCTTGAGCTTCCTGACACCCCACTATCATGTTGTTCAGTTGACGAACAGTTAAACAGCATGCCTGCAGTGAGCCACGTGGCCAGGCACAGACTGGACGCTTTGAAGAAAAGCTTTTGAGAAAAATATGGATAGGATCCATAGACAGTACAGGCCAGAAGGACATAAGTGACTATAATATCGTATATTACATCATCCAGTTGCTTCTGTTTGCTATGAAACATAGATAATGCCTTTTTCTTTTGCATCACAAATTAAACTTTTTGGCGAATAATGCTCAGCTTTCGGATGCAGTGTGCATCTTTTTGGATGCAGCAGTAAGTCTCGTGTGGGTCTTTGGTGAGCGCCCTCACCAAAGGGTGGAAGCAGCCACAGCAGTGAGATTTCAGTTGGGAGTTTATCTCTAAAAGGCACAGACATTCCTGTGCTGGATTCTGCTGAGCCAGGCTGCACGCTGTCACCAGATGGGGACACCTGACCACCCAGCCTCATCTGGGCTGGTGGGACGGTTGTAGACCACAAAACCACAAGTGTGCACACCACCCTCTTGAAATGTCCGGTACTAGTTTGAGACCTTGCCTGGTGCTCTTGTTTGTAGGAGTTAAGCTCAGATAACTCATGTTCGGGGTATTTGGTATTCAGATTAATTTTGCTGGATTTGCTGTAAATCATCCTATCATTTGAGCTTAGGCAGGGGTGGAATTTTTTTTTAAGGAGTTTTATGAGAGGATTCACTCCTCTTTCCCATTTAATAAGGAACAGTCAGTTTACTTTGCATGTTATTTTAAAATATAAAACGAATTTTTGCAAGTAAAACTTGTGAGGGCGTTAACCTGTGTTAAGTATTTACCCCCATATAAGAATTTCATTCTGACATTGAGCACCCGATTGTATTGAATTCTTATATGTTTTAACCACCAGAACAAAAAGGTTGAGAAGAGCATTGGACAGCGCTCTTTGAATCCTTACTCCTGGATGGAGGGTTCAGTCATTGGTAACCAGGAGGAATGAAGTCCTACAGAAAACAGATGACCTGGGGCTGAAACCCAGCGGGCTCTGTCCCATTCACAAGCAATGCTTGCTTCAAGTCTTGTGTGTTTCATGCATTTGAACTTAATGTTTTGATGTGGCATTCAGGGGCCTCCCCTCACCCTGCTGTCCCTCTCTGACCAAACTATTTGCATTCCTGTTACTCCCCTGGATTCATCTTCTCATCAATTAAAAAAAAAAATTTATTCTTGGGTTTTCTGTTCCTGCCTTCTCTGCTCTCCATCTTACCTTCCTTCCCTGCTGCTCCGTTCCCCAGTCCTGACCTGTGCCAGCACCGCTCTGGGTTGGTTTTACTCTATGAATACACATTCCTTGCCTCCCAGTTAGGTTGTTGCTTCCTGCATCAGAGCCTGTCCTTGTCACCTCCGTCTTGGGTATAGAGTTGTTGGAGCTCTGCCAGCATCTTGTCTGAGGAGCAGAAGGAGGGTCTCTTCCCACCTTCATTCTGACTGACTGGCCTCCTGTCTCTCCTGTGATCTCTGTCCAAGGTGTCTTTAGTTTTGCAGTCTGTCATATAGAACCGATTGTGTCAGAAACCAGAAACAATTTTGTTTTCTTGAGACTATGACCCCAGCAAAATCACATTATCCACTTGTTCTGGTTAGGGCCTCATACAAGGATTATTTGGGCTCTAGTAATAATTGAATTCAACAAGTCAAATACCTGAATTGTTGCAGAGCTGTCTCTGGGGTCCAGGGAGAGACTATATGTAGCCTTTTTCATGCTAGGCTCTTCCCCTAAGAGGATTTTTAGGGAGCTCAGGGGCCTCCTTCAGGCAGTCCCCAGGAGAGCCTGTGGCACAGACAGTTCTGCCTGGACCAGACCTAGGGAATTCAATGTAGGGCCCATGGGGCTATCTGTCATGGTGACTTTTCCTTTGGGGGAAATGAAATATGGAATCTGGGCATCTGTGGCTTATGAAGTAACCCTTAATCCAGGCATAGTTATTTTACACAGCGGGTGCAGTGGTTAAAGAGGCAGATGTTAGAATAAATTCTGACATCTGTGTAACAACCTCAAGTGGGCCAGCTGAGCCTCAGTTTCTTCATCTGCAAAACACGAGGCTCATGATATCTATAGTTATTGTGAGCACTGGTTGTAGTCGGTTGCCTGCAGTTATCATGAACATTAAGGTGGGATGAGGGTGAATAGAAGTTATCACGGTACCTGAACCAAAGATGCTCTTGAATAGTGGCTGTTTTTATCATTAGCCGTAACAGAATTCATAATGTACTTACTTATATGCGTTGTCCTGGCATTTTCCCAAGAAGGCATGTTGGACTATTGTTAAATGATAAGAGAGTAATTCAGTTTTTTATTCGTATTTCATTTATCTGATTGTGTCAAGTTTTACTTGATGCCCTTTAGTAGTTGCTAATTTTCTCTGAAAATTTTTTATTTATTTGAGAGAGAGAGAGAGAGAGCATGAGTGTGTGCATGCGAGCGAGCACGCAGGAGTGGGGGGAAGGAGCAGGGGAAGAGGAAGAAAGAAACTCAAACAGACTCTGCAGATCTCACGACGCTGAGATCATGACCTGAGCCTGAGATCAGGACCTGAGTTGAAGCCAAGAGGCAGATGCTTAACTGACTGTAGCACCGAGGTGCCCCATCGAATTTTCTCTTTTATAAGAAGAGGTCTCAGGCTCAAGCTCAGAATGTTTGGCAGTCAATAGTATCTAGAAGAGTTTTACATAATGTCAGTTGTTTCTGTAATTTTTTTTTAAGATTTTATTTATTTATTTGACAGACAGAGATCACAAGTAGGCAGAGAGGCAGGCAGAGAGAGGAGGAAGCAGGCTCCCCGCTGAGTAGAGAGCCCAATTTGGGGCTCGATCCCAGGACTCTGGGATCATGACCTAAGCCGAAGGCAGAGGCTTTAACCCACTGAGCCACCTAGGCACCCCCGTTTCTGTAATTTTTAAAAAAAGATTTTGTTTTTATTTATTTGAGAGAGTGAGAGAAAGAGAGAGCACGAGTGGGGGATGAGGTGGGAGAAGCAGACTCCCCTCTGAGTAGGGAGCCTGACACAGGGCTTGCTCACACAGCCCAAGATCATGACCTGAGCCCAGATCAAGAGTCTGACGCTCAACCATCTGAGCCATCCAGGCACCCTGGAGTATACTGTTTTCATATTTAAAGTTGTAATAAAGGTTCTTCTAAAAATAAATTTTAAAAGAGAGTAGGTGTTTAAAGGACTATGTCAAACACTTAACAGTAGAGCCATTGTGTGCAGTTATTGGAGGTTATAGCATAGGTGCTGTGCCTGGGAGAGAGAGATATTGGTAAACTGGGGCTGATAGTCTGTGAGCTACTTACCAAGCTGCGTGCCCTGGCACAGGGCCATTGTACCCACTGGGAAGATGGGTGCCTTTTTCTAATTCTCATCAAGACCCCATGTGGGCGAGCAGTACATGGTGGTCTTTTGGTATGCAGTATGGCAAAAATACTGAAGGCAGCATGTAAATGGGAGTCCTGCAATACAGGTGTTTGTATTCCCCATTTCACCCCTTGAGATGGAGGCTCAGATGCTGTTTCTGTGCCCATTTTTCATATTCGTTTCTGATAGCTCTGATAGCTTGGTGAAACTACACTCATGGTTGGTAAAGGGAGGAGACCAGGGCAGTGAAAGCCCCATTCATAACAGGAGAGAATCTATACAGAATACACAAATAATGTTTAATAAAAGTTATGTATAGGGGTGCCTGGGTGGCTCAGTGGGTTAAAGCCTCTGCCTTCAGCCCAGGTCATGGTCCCAGGGTTCTGGGATCGAGCCCTGCATCAGGCTCTCTGCTCAGCGGGGGGCCTGCTTTCTCCTCTCTCTCTGCCTGCCTCTCTGCCTGCTTGTGATCTCTGTCTGTCAAGTAAATAAATAAATAAATAAAAATCTTAAAAAAAAAAAAAGTTATGTATAGTCTATTTGATTTAACCAGAGGACATTGAAGAAGACATATGTGGAAAGTCATTCCATGTCCATGGATGATGAGATTCGTTATTATAAAGATGTTGGCTCTCCAGTCCATAAATTTAGTGCATTTTTTAAAAAGACTTTATTTATTTATTTGACAGAGAGAAAGAGACAGTGAAAGAGGGAACACAAGCAGGGGCAGAGGGAGAAGGAGAAGCAGACTCCCTGCTGAGCCGGGAGCCTGAGGTGGGACTTGATTCCAGGATCCTGGGATCATGACCCGAGCTGAAGGTAGACGCTTAATGACTGAGCCTCCTAAGTGCCCCAGTTTAGTACATTTCTAATAAAAATCCCGAAAGGATTTTTCATGGAATTGAGGAACTGATTTTAATTTATATGATATTGCAAAAAATTAGGAATAACCAGACAATTTTGGAGAACAAGGAGGGATGCCTTTCTCTATGAGATACCAAAGCTTATTATGAAGCTGTAGTCATGTAAACTAATGTGGTCTAGCTCTGCTCTGTCCAGTATAATAGCCACTAGCCATATGTGGCTTGTAAGCCCTTGAGTGTGGCTAGTATGAATTGGACAGTGATTGTAAAGTACACACCAAATCTTGAAGATTTAATAGGAGTAAAAAAGAATGTGAAATATGGAGGCACCTGGGTGGCTTAGTGTGTTAAACCTCTGCCTTCGGCTGAGGTCATGATCTCAGGGTCCTGGGATCGAGCCCCACATCGGGCTCTCTGCTCAGGGGAGCCTGCTTCCCCCCTCTCTCTCTGCCTGCCTCTCTGCCTAATTGTGATCTCTCTCTTTGTCAAATAAATAAATAAATAAAATCTTAAAACACAAAAAGCAAAAAACAAAAAACAAAGAATGTAAAATATGCCATTAATAATTTTAAAATATAGATCACATGTTAACAATATGATATTTTGGATATATTAAGATAAATATACTGTTAAAATTAATTTCGTCTGTTTGCTTTTTCATGTGGCTACTAGAAAATTTTAAATTACATATGTGATTATGCATGTACACCATGAAATTACATTTCTCATATATTCGTTGGATGGCACAAGACTAGACTATTGAAATAGAGGAGAGTTCAGAAACAGGCCACACATATATGGAAACTTGGGAGTATAGCAAAGATAGCATTATTGGCCAGTGCAAAAGGGATAGACTATTCAGAAAATGGGACAATGGGAAAATTAGCTTATGCCATGGACTGAATTTTTGTGCCTCCCCATTCATATAATTCTTAATGTGATGGTATTTACCAGATCAGAGAGGGCACAGGGGAATTCTAGTCTATTTTTTTTTTAAAGATTTTATTTATTTATTTTAGAGAGAGCATGAGCAGGGGAGGAGCTGGGGGAAGGGAGGCAATCTCCAACAGACTCCGCACCGACCGCAGAGCCCTGTGTGAGGCTCGATCCCATGACCCTGAGATCATGACCTGAGATGAAACCAACTGTTAGACATTTAACCAACTGAGCCACCCACGCCCCTCCAGTCTGTTCCAATATACTTTATTTCTGAAAAGAAAATCTGAGGCAAACATGGCAAAATGCTGAGATTGGGTAGTTCTGGGTGGTGGGTTTGCATTATTCCTCTGTATTTCTGTGTATGCTTGACATATTTCGTTAAAATATATGCATATCTTTAAAATATAATTTTGGTCATGTAGAATGTTCTAAAAATAGCCATTTTTATTTTTTGCAATGATTTTGAGTGTGACAAGATTTTTTTTTTTTTTTAGATTTTACTTTTTGGAGAGAGAGTATGCGCGTCAGTGCGGGGAAAGGCAGATGGAGGGGGAGAAGCAGCCTCCCCGCTGAGCAAGGAGCCCCATGCAGGGATCATGACGCTCCTGAACAAGCTTTCTGAACATGATTTTTGCAGTTGACCAGTAAAAAGGTCATCTTGGAATTGGTGGGTTATCTTTGATATTTCCTGTAGAGCAGAATAGTACATGTCAGAGATGCTTTTTCGAAACTTTCAGATGAGGACTTTTTTGTGTTATGTAAATCTGAAAGTGGTCATTTACTGCTTTTTCTCCCCTTGTCCCAGGAGACTCTCTTTGCCCCATCTGAAGTCCATATGGCTCTGTACGATGAAGATCTCCTGAAAAATCCTTTCTATTTGGCTCTTCAAAAGTGGCGTCCTGACTTATGCAGCAAGGTGGCCCAAACCCATGGCATTGTAAGTGCATCGATCCTGAGGGTCGTTCTTCTCCAACAGGTGTGGACCAGGCAGTGTTGATAAGGCCAGAAATGCCGTAGACTTTGTTTAAGCTTAGAGGGAGTCAGTTACAAACCCACTGAGTGTAACAAGCGCCAGACCATGCTCAGTACGAGAACGAGCAGAGAGGGACCACCATGAGCTGCCTCCTCCAGGAAGCCTCTTGGCTCTGCACCAGCCTCGGGTATAATCCTCTCTGTTGACACCTTTGACAGCCCCCGTGGACGCTGATCTTCGGGTATTCGTCTGTTTCTCTCTTTCTGCGTTGACCTTGAGAGCTTCTTGGGGGCAGAAAGTGTATCAGGGCATCATGGGTCCTTGTCTGTGAGGCGTGTGCTCACTCACATAGAATCCGGGAACATGTGAACACATTCGTGTGTAGCTTTGAAAGGCATCTCCTAAAGGGGAGGAACCGGTGATCTAATCGAGGCATCCAGATGGCAGGCTGAGGGGCGCACGCGAGGAACCACAGTATGTCTGTGGGGCCATCTGCTGCCTGCAGGGTGGTGGGCTCTCCGCTCCTGGCCTTGGTGGCCGTCTGGTGCACACAGCCCCGCGCCACACAGAGCACTTGCTGCCTTTGTGTGGCTGCTTTTCTGTTTTGGGGGGTTTTTCTTGCCTTCGTGTTTCTTTTTTATGTGTTGTCCTCTTCTCGTACTGTGTTTCTGCTTCGTGGCCAAGGATTTGAACTAGAGGAGAAGTCAGTGTAGCTCAGGTTCACTTTGGGTTAGCAGGTGCCTTGTCTGGACACCGGGAGCTGACTTTCACTTTGCCCACTCTGTCCCACTCCCACCACAAGCCTGCTTTTTCCAGGTTCCTTCCAGTTTTTAGGATTGGTTTTGTGATTCATATGTTTTTCCCAGAATTACTTTACTTTGGTTTTTAGAGGTCATAAAGTTCAGTGTGTGTGTGTGTGTGTGTGTATACATGTATACATATATATATATGTGTGTGTGTGTGTGTCTGTGTGTGTATACATGTATACATATATATGTGTGTGTGTGTGTCTGTGTGTGTGTATAAAAAAACAGTTGGAGTATAGCTGTTTCCAACAAGAAAATAAAAATCATATAAAGTTCACCAGAGACATTATCATCTGTTCATTTCACGGTAGTTATGAAGTGCTCCTCTGGGGAAGGTACCATGTTTGATGGGGAGGGTTCAGCAAAAAATGGGAATAAACATCACCATCTTTACCTTTATAGAGGTGAAATGCTATTGGGAGAAATGGTCACGCTCTGAGCAAATACCTACTAATTACAGTTGTGGTACGTGTTCCAGAGAAGAAATACAGGATACAAAGCAGTCATGTTAACGGTTGGTGGGGAGGCGCTAAACAAATTTGGGAAATACTCCCTCCCCATCTTTGTTCTATAACATTTTCAAAAATGCTGTCTGGAGAAGAGCAGACTATGTGTGACTTTCTCTTGCTCTTTAAGGATGCCACGCTGTGGGGGCGCCTTGGTGAGTCAGCCAGTGAAGTGTCCAACTTTTGGTTTTAGCTTAGGTCATGATCTAAGGGTCATGAGATCGAGCCCCAAGTGAGGCTCCATCCTGGGGGTGGAGCCTGCCCAGGATTCTTTCTCGCCCTCTCTACCTCCCCCCCAGCTCATGCGCATTCGCTCTCTCTTTCTCTGTCTAAAAAATAATAAAAAGGAAAATGCCACACTGTGAATACTGTGAGGGACCTGTCTGTCTTGCTCACCACTGTGTTTCCAGGAAGATGCTTTCCCAGCTGCAAATAGTGGAATCCCATTCAAGCTCACCTCAATGAAAGGGCAATTTTGAATAAGAACTTTGGCCTCTTGGTTACCTTCCTTTTGGCCACACCGAGGAATAGGAGAGTCTTCTTAAACTGTGCCATCCGAGTTCCCAGTGGTAACCTAGGTCCTTTCTCTGGCCCCTCCTGGGATCTGCAGGGTCCACGGGAAGCTGCCGGGGGCCAACACTTGGCAACACTGACGTCGTGGCCATCAGTAGGTGGGAGAATCCGTGAGGCCGACGTCTCAACGGAAGTCTCCATGAGCAGTAGCTGGCTATTGCTGCCCAACTCAGCCCAGTCAGACATTGATGGCTAGCTCCTGCCCCTCCTGGCTGTGTTACGGGGGCTCCCGTTCCTCCTGGTCTAATCCATAGTAGTGCCCCGTCCACGTCTGTTGGTGGAATAAAAAAGAATATTCCAGTCACCTCTGGAAGAGTACACATCATTTCTGCCACCGCCAAGGGTCCCTATCTCCTCAGCAGGTGAATGCTGAATTTCTTTCCTTGGGGCCTGGCCATTGGGCCAAGTTTGGCTGCCTTTGAATCAGCCCTGGGAACCAGAGTCATTTAGTGGGCTCTAAAATACTGAGAAATCATCAGTTTTAAACGTGTGTCCCTCCCCTCCAGGGTCAGCTGCCCCTCACACGTCTTCCTAAAGCCCAGCTCGCTGGCCCCCATCCTCACAGACAGTGTGAGTGGCAGCCGAGGGTGCAGCTTGATTGCTCCCCCCGCCTGCCCCATCACTCCTCCAGGTTGACTTCCTTCCAGAACTTTCCTTTGGTTGGGATACCTGTGCATTCAGGCGGGCGCCTCCTGCCATCACCTGCTCTCTGACTGGACGGGGTAAGCTCCTTCTCCCCGTGTTCCCCAGATTCCAGCCACAGAGGCCTGTAACACCCCCACACCGCTTCTACTGTCACCCTTGTTCTATTTAATTAGCACCCAGCTAATTATATACTGTGGTTTCTTCAGTGTGGGCTGGACAAGCCTGCTGCCTCCCTGGGGCTCTTGTCCATGAGGTGGCAGGGGGCGGGTCCTCCAGGATTCCCAGGTAGATTAGGGGTGGGTCCATTTGCTTACAGGAGAAACAAAAATTACAAAGGGAGTTTAAGTTTTTTCCTCTTAATTTGGATTTTTTGGAAAGATTTATTTATTTTATTTGAGAGAGGGAGAGCATGCATGGTAGGAAGGGGCAGAGGGAGAGAGACTCTCAGGCAGACTCCCCACTGAGCATGGAGCCGAACATGGGGCTTGATCCCATGACCCGGAGATCATGACCCCAGCTGAAATCAAGAGTCTGAGGCTCAACAGACTGCCCCACCCAGACGTCCCTGTTGTGATCTTTTAATTATGGGGTATGTAGGCTTTTGAGGGCTAGCCTGGGAACCTGTCAGCATGTCTTCCAAGTTCCAAAGAACTTCCGAGTACAATACCTAGATGGGCCAGCTAAGGGCACTGAGGTCCATGTTCTAGTTCTTAGGATCCGTTTGGCATAGATCCAGCCAACAAACAATTTGTTGAACATCTGCTAGGAGCCAGGCACCGTGCCCGGTTTCCAGGATTGCACAGATGAGTGGAGAACGCTGCGTGACTTCAGGGAATTCCAGAAGCTGGCCGTTGGTCTTTCAGAACGGCGGGTGTCAGGACAGAAATTACCCGAATGCTGCGGAGTTAGGAGGGGACCCTGGAGTAGTGTCACAAATGCTGATTATTGCTTCTGTTCTACTGTTTTTCCTTTTCTGTTATTGAAGAATTCTTTATAAGGGACCAGAATGAAAAGTTTTATTGTTAAGCTTTAAAATAAGCAGGTCCCCCACTTATGGTCTACTCGGAGGCTCCAAACTTTGTGTCCTCCACATAGGCCGTAGTGCCCGTGACATCTCCAGGAAGGCTGAAGCACCGTCTTGGGAGAGCCCCGAAGGCACTTGCACTTGACCCCACCTCCTATGGGCAGCTTCCTAGCTGCTCCAGTCCCCAACTCCACTCCAGTCCCCAGGGGCTGGCATCCTCACCCTCCCTCTCAGCCAGAGAGCCCAGCCGCTGGCCTCTGCTTGCAAAGAACTGCTCTGGGCAGTATTGTCTTTCTGAAAATTGGCAGTGGGGGGTGGGGGACCTTGATATAGGCGGATCCCTGTTCACTCAACGAACATTGATTGGGCACCTACTGAATGTCAAGCAGTGAGATTGGTAACAGGGATACAGTGTAGCAGGAACCAGTCTTACTTTTAAGTTAGGGATGCAGACAGTTAGGGAGGCAGAGAGGGAGGCAGACAGCTAAACAGCTGGGGTAAGGTTCTCCAAAGCACCTCAGAAGTCCCTGGTCTCTCACTGGAGTCTCTTACGACTCTTTCATCCACAGAGCAGGCGTGGGACCTTCTCTGGGCCTTCCTCAGTTTGGGTGTTAAACATACCCGAGTTCTGGTTCATGGACTTCCTGTGCCCTTGGTTAGCCCCCTGGTCCCCAGGCTCTTCTTCCTGTACTCCCTGGGCCATGAGGAGGTTGCTTCCCAATTCAGGCTTATATTAAGGCCCACCTTTTCTTTCTTTATTTTATTTTTATCTTTTCCCCCTTTTTAAGTTTCACTTTTAGTAAAATTTAAATTATTTTATTAAAAAAATTTTTTTTTAATTTTATTTACTTATTTGACAGACAAGTAGGCAAAGAGGCAGGCAGAGACAGAGAGGAGGAAGCAGGCTCCCTGCTGAGCAGAGAGACCGATGTGGGGCTCGATCCCAGGACCCTGGGACCACGACCTGAGCCAAAGGCAGAGGCTTTAACCCACTGAGCCACCTAGGCACCCCTTAAATTATTTTAATATGATTTTTAAATTTTTAAAAATTTTAATTCTTTTATTTGACAGAGAGCACAAGTAGGTAAAGCGGCAGGCAGAGGGAAGCAGGCTCTCCACTGAGCAGGAAGCCCAATGTGGGGCTCGATCCCAGGACCCTGGGACCACAGCCCGAGCCGAAGGCAGCCACTCAACCAACTGAGCCACCCAGGCGCCCCAGAACGATTTTTTTTTAAAAGAAGTAATCTCTGTGCCAGACTTGGGGGCCAGACTATGACCCTGAGATAGAGAGTCGCGTGCTCTAGTGTCTGAGCTCAGTTGCAAACATACGATCCAAGTAGAAAGGGTAACATAATGAGCCCCATGCACCTGTCACCCAGTTTCAGCTGTGATCCATTCGCTGGCCCATCCCAGGTGGTTTCTGCCCTCTCCTGCTCTCCACCCTCGGACACTGGATTATTTTGAAGCAAATTCCAGAAAATTATGTCGGATTGTCATACAGTTTCATCTGTAGATACTTAGGAATGTGTCTTTAAATGATAGGGACTCTTAAAAAAAGTAACCACAATGCCACAAAGAGTGTTGACAAAATGAGAGCTAAAACTTTCCCCAATCATTCTTCAGTATTGTCCGCCATCTAGTCCCTGTTCAGATTCCCCAAATCATCTCACAATTGTCCATTTCACGGGGGGTTTGTTCAGAGCAGGACCCAGAGGAGATCCACACGTCACACTGGACGGATGACGTCCGTCTTTCCTCCTCGCCGCTGAGCTAAAGTGAAGTGCACAGGGGTGCGCAGCCCCGGGTGTGAGGCCCTGGGTGTGAGGCGTGGTCAGCGTTGACATACTGGTGGCCTTGGGAAACCGTCTGCACAGTCTTCCACTGCTTTTTCGTTTCATCTTCCGCTTTCCTCATTTTCTTTCTTTGTGTCTTTGCAGTTCGTTCTTCTGGGTCCGTCTTCCTGGAGAGTTTCCCTGGGTTCTGACTCTTGCCGATTGCAGTCCTGGGGCTGGTGCTGATGGTGGTCCCCTGTTCACGATGCTTCCTGAAACTGATAGTTAGATCGAGATGTTGATTCTTTGAGGAGGGGCCAGGCCATTTTGTCAACATTCTTTCAGCCTCAAGTCACTCCTTCCGCTGTGAGACACTGGCCTGTTCGTCTGTGTGGGGAGAGGCCAAGCTGCTCTTCCCACACAGCCTAAGGAAGCCCCGGTGACAGCGGCTCTGAAGGCTGCTGTGATTCCCTGGGTCCTTGCAGAGGGAGCTCCAGCGGGCTCAGGGCTGAGCCTCCAGCACTGGCTCCAGGAGGTGGCAGGAGTTTGTGTCAGGGCCGCGAGACACTGACAGGTTCCTTAGCTCCCTTGAGCCTCAGTTTCCTTATCTGTAGAATGGGGCTAGTGCAGAAGCTGTTTGCCTCTCAGATGGAGCCCGCCCCAAGGATGGAGTCTAGCACCCCCAGATATCTTGGCAGAGGTGGGGAATCTGTCCTAGGAAACCCTGTTTCTGTGGCTTCTATTACAAACTATAATTGCAACTAGGCTTAGAAAAAATAGCCGAGAAAAAAGACAGGGAAGGAAACTGTCTTCAAGCGGCAGTGTTTCTCCTCATTCAGGTGGTGGGATTATGTGTCACTTTTTTTTTTTTTAATAAAGATTTTATTTATTTATTTGAGAGAGACACAGTAAGAGAGGGAACACAGCAGGGGGAGTGGGAGAGGGAGAAGCAGTCTTCCCGCTGAGCAGGGAGCCCAATGCGGGGCTCCATCCCAGGACCCTGGGATCATGACCTGAGCCAAAGGCAGATGCTTAACAACTGAGCTACCCAGGCACCTACACGTGACTTTTTAGTTTGACTTTTCTCTTCTTTCCAAACTGCCCTGTCTTCCTCTGGAGTTGTCCCCGAGTCCATTGAGAATAGACTGGGGCACCTGGCTGTGGGGGCGGGGGGTACCCAGCGGGTGTGGGAACAAGCCTGGAGGGGGACTGTGCCTGGCCTCCACCCAGGTTGGGGAATCGCGGCTTTGCCACCAGGACGTCTGTCACCCCAGTCGCTGGGTTCCATCTGCCAGTAGCATTCCAGGCAGGGGGTGTCCAGCTGGAGCTGTGAGTGGCCCCTCCCGCACTCTTCACTATGCCTACTGTTTGCAGGTCCTGGTGCCCTGCAAGGGAAGCTTGTCGAGCAGCGTTCAGTCCACTTGTCAGTTTGAGTCCTACATTTTGATCCCCGTGGAAGAACACTTCCAGACCTTAAATGGAAAGGTATTCACTTCTTTGTGGGTCAGCCAGGGTCCCTCACTCAGTGTTTGGGAGTTGGTGGGGAGGGCAGGGGTCCCACGTTTCTCCCTGTCCCTGCTGTGGTAAATGATGGCTCTGACGTTGCCGGGGGCAGGGGGGCATTGGAGGGCCCTCTGCCTTTGAGGAAAGAGGAGGTAGTAGCTGAGCAGGGCCTGGCTGGGCCTCTGCCTGGGAGGATGGGTGGGGAGGGGTGGGGCGGGGTTCCTCAGTTCTAGGGCCTTCTGCTGGTAAGTCAGGGAGTCTCTGGAATATCTCATGGAGGTCCTGTGGCTAAACCTGTTTTATCCCCGTGCTCTTGAGAGCTCATCAGTTTCTTGGCCACAAACAGGACATCCGGGGTGAATTTTAACTTTTCAAAAAACATTCTTAAAAAAAATGTTATTGAAACTTAAATTAGGCAAAACAACAAAAAAAACACAGGTGTGTTATTAAAACTTAAATAAGCCAAAGGATGAATACCCAACTTTTGTATCAACATGGACAGGACTGGAAGAGATTATGCTGAGTGAAATAAGTCAAGCAGAGAGAGTCAATTATCATATGGTTTCGCTTCTTTATGGAGCATAAGGAATAACATGGAGGACATGGGGAGCTGGAGAGGAGAAGGGAGTTGGGGGAAATTGGAGGGGGAGACAAACCATGAGACTGTGGACTCAGAGAAACAATCTGAGGGTTTTGGAGGGGAGGGGGGTGGGAGGTTGGGTGAGCCTGGTGGTGGGTATTAAGGAGGGCACGTATTTCATGGAGCACTGGGTGTGGTGCATAAACAATGAATTCTGGAACACTGAAAAGAACTTTAAAAATAAATAAAAATTAAAAAAAAAACAAGCTGAAAAAATAAATAAAAAACATTCTTTTTAAATCCTCTCAAACCTAGAGAAAGCCCTAAGAACTCTCCTCTGCTCTTCCCCTGGTTGGTCAGCTGTAAGCACTTTGGCCACATTTATTTTTATAGGTCCCTTCCCCCTCTCCCCACCACAGTATTACTGCTTTTTCTGAACCTTTTTTTTTTTTTTTTTTTGCACAAAGTAAACTTTATTTGAACCTTTTTCGGAAAAAGTGAGAGTGAGTTGCAGACACTACGTCCCTTTATTCTAAAACATGTTATTTCTTGCATAACTACTCAGAGTGAGCGCACTCAGGAAAGTGAACTGTTCAACACGCTGTCCTCATACAAATCATGCTAATTATACAAATAATATCCTTTTGTAGATTTTTTTTTTGGTCTTTTTAGATCCAGGGTCCTGCAGTGCCTTCAGTTGCTGGTGTTTTTAGTTTCGTGTGACTTGGCGCAGTCCTTGGGCTGTCTTTGTCTTCCATGACACGGACGGCTTTGCTTTGTACACTTTCCCTCAGCCTGGGGTTCTCAGAGGTTCCCTCGCGGCCGGGAGGGCGTTTTATCACTCCGCGGGTGTCGTGACCAGAGACATATGATGTCAGTCTGTCTCATTGTGGATGTTACCTTTGGGTAACATTGGGGTCCACATTTTCTTATTTTTTAAGGGGAGGTAGAGAGATTCTGGGAGGGGGATGTTCTGTTCCTCACCGGAACTGGCATGGGGCCAGTGTATTTGGTGAGTGCCTCAGACCTGACAGTCAGGGATTGTGTGAGCCTGTGCGGAGAGAGGAGGGACAGGACAGGACACGGGGTTACCTAGACACCAGCCTGGCGGTGGGGGGTTAGGGGGGGAGTCAGCAGCCCTGTTCTCCCTGCCAGTCCCTGTTAGTTTGTTCTCTTCGGGGAAGCCAAATCTACAAGGAGAACAGAGGAGTTAGGCTTATCACATCTCATCTGCCTGGGTACCCCAGCTGTGGCCAGAGTTCTGAATGTGGCCGGGACAGCAGCATCCCTTCCCCGTCCGCGTCTCCTTGCAGCGCCAGGCCATTCCAGGAGGGCCTTCTTCCTCCTTCCCCAGAAGGTACAGGTTTTCTTAAGGCCCCAAGGACCAGCTTAATGCATCTCTGTCCCAATATTTAAAAAGGATCAGCTGTAGCTACAGTGTGAACAAAGAGGAAAGAAAACATTTTAGTATCAAAAAGTGAAATGGAAGAGTGTTCATGACCCCCCGCCCCAGTAAAGCCCCACTGAAGCAAAGGAGGGCAGGTTGGAAGCAGTGCCCTGTCTGGGGCCAGCCAGGGGGACTTGTTGGTCACCGCTGGCTGCTGCTGCAGTGACTGTTCTCTTGTTCCAGGATGTCTTTATACAAGGAAACAGGATTAAATTAGGAGCTGGTTTCGCCTATCTTCTCTCAGTGCCCATTCTCTTTGAAGAAACTTTCTACAATGAAAAAGAAGAAAGTTTCAGCATACTGTGTATAGCCCATCCTTTGGAAAAGAGAGAGAGTTCAGGTATTCTGGGAGAAAACCCTTTCCCCCTGATTTGGAGAACTGTGTTCAACTTCCTCCTGACATAGCTGTTATAAACGTCCCATAAAATATTCAAGAGCCCACTAGAAGCCTGCCTGACTTTAGAGTAATTCCCCAGAGCTTAATCAAAAAGTCATCTTGAGCTAAGACAATGGGACTGGGGGCTGCTGTGTATGGTTGCACAGGTTGGGCATTACACAATTCCGGGAGGTGATATTCATACAGACCTCTGTGTGAATGTTGCCCACTGGAGTTTGTGCAGGGTGGCAGCCCTGGCTTTGACACTGGGCCTCAATGTTAGAGCCAGCTCTTAATGTCATTATTGCCCCACTGTTGTGTCTCTTTGAGAGCTCATTATTTTTAATAAATAATAATTCTTCAGTTGTTCCAGGAAATTGAGATAACAATGTGCTGAATGTACTCTGAGTCCTGTATTGTCAGGAATCCGGGCTTCCTCACCAGAGCCTCTTAGGTCATCCCTATGGTATCAAATTGTTTTGTCCATGGAAGGGGCTTCAGGAGGGCCAGGCTCTCTGGACCCTGAGCTGTCCTGTATGAGGCTGTTTTTGGGCAGTATCTTGAAATAATTCCTGTCCTCTGCTGGAAGATGGGGCTCCAGACCCTGGGGGAGCAGGGCAAAGGATGTGGTACTTCCCCCATTAGGAAACTGGGAAGGCTTCGGCCAGCTTGACCCATTGCCTCTTTTTCAGAAGAGCCTTCAACATCTTCAGATCCATTTACCCTGAAAACCATCGAAGATGTGAGAGAGTTTTTGGGAAGACATGCAGAGAGATTTGACAGGAGCATTGCTTCTTTCCAGCGAACATTCAGAGAATGTGAAAGAAAGAGCCTCCGTCAACACATAGTCAGTAGCTGTGTCTTGCTTTGCCAGGGTGCCCTGGCTCAGGCCGGTTCAAGAACACAGGGGCTCCCTCCCAGTGTACCCTGAAACTTTGCTGCCTCCCCTGTTGGAAGCCTTGTTTAGATGTTTCCTTCTAACAGTAAAGCTAGTAGGAGCCCCTGGAGAAAACTTGAACATGACAGAGTATAAAAATGAATATTGTTATTACCTGTGTGAATCCCAAGGGAAATTCTCTCTTACCCTTCATGCATCTACACTTAAAAAAGTTGAAAAAAAAATCACATAACTTATTTGATAAGCCTGTATCAGGACTTAAAGCTTATCCCCCGGGAAGTACATCTGGCAATGTGTTCTTACTCCAGGACGTGTGGCACGTTTTGGGTTTTGTGTTGGGGGCCTTGGGTCCTGAGTGACCTGTCTTTCTGCTCTGGGTTACACAGGACTCGGTGAATGCTCTCTACACCAAATGCCTCCAGCAGCTTCTGAGGGACTCTCACCTGGTAAGCTTCAGGACTTCCAAAAGAGAGAACTGCAGTTTGCTCACATGCCAGTCCAAGGTCTTTAACGTTACCTTCTCGTCCTGCAGAAAATGCTTGCCAAGCAGGAGGCCCAGATGAACCTGCTAAAGCAGGCAGTGGAGGTAAGAAGCCAGGCCAGGGCAGAGAGAGGAGGCAGAGGAGCAGGGGGTGGGGAGGGGCAGGGCTCCTGTCCCCTCTGCACCCTTGGAATGGCTGTCTGTGGTCTGTTTGTTGATTCCACAGATGTACGTCCAGCACGATATTTATGATCTGATCTTTAAATATGTGGGGACCATGGAGGCAAGCGAGGTATGTCCCAAATCCCCATCATCCCCATTAGAAGCCTTTTATTCTTAGCTGTGTAAGAAATCTGAAGCTTCATTAAAAATCTGCCGTTAGGACGCTGCCTTTAACAAAATCACAAGAAGCCTTCAGGATCTTCAGCAGAAGGACATTGGTGTGAAACCTGAGTGTAGGTAAGAGCGTGTGCCGCTGGAGCTCGGCCCCCTCGGGGGCTGGGGCCTCTGCTTCTGGAAACAGGGCTCTCAGCCATAGGGACGGCACCCTGGTTTCACTCGGTTCCTTCTGAGGAACAGTGCAGTTCCTTGTGACCCAGGATAAAGGACTGGGGTTGGCAGGGATCCCCCTCCTGCCCTTGTGGCCAGCTGGAGCTCGATGGGTGGGGCTTTCGCACAGCTGGTCTTTTGACGGGCACACCGCTCACCCAGGTGGGTCCCGCATACAGACACGCACCTCACCTGCTAGACGGGCGCCTGCTTTTGAATTAGTTTATGTTTCTTTGGTATTATGAAGTGTTTACGTTGAGACTGTTTTAACCCCTTTGAGCGATCTCACTCTGGGGCTAAGGATTTTTTTTTTTTTAAGATTTTACTTATTTATTTAACAGAGATCACAAGTAGGCAGAGAGGCAGGCAGAGGCGGCGGGCAGCGGGGGGGAAGCAGGCTACCCACTGAGGTGAGAGCCTGATGCGAGGCTTGATCCCAGGACCCTGAGATCATAACCTGAGCCGAAGGCCGAGGCTTAACCCACTGAGCCACCCAGGTACCTGCTAAGGATTTTTTTTTTTTTTTTAATTTTATTTTTTCCTAATGTTCTACTGTCCTGCCTCTTTGATGGGACATTCAGAGGTGTTGTCTTGCTTCTGATTGGAGCCCAAGTTTTTCTTTCAGTTTGTCGTTACCTACGGCTTGTTGTAAGCAGAGTAAATCTGAGGTGTGCTGTTAGATCAGGGAAGAAGGGCCCGCCCAGTGTGGTCTTAAGTTGTCACTTTCTGAATTATTCTGCAGCTTCAACATACCTCGTGCAAAGAGAGAGCTGGCCCAGCTGAACAAATGCACCTCCCCACAGCAGAAGCTGATTTGTTTGCGAAAGGTGGTGCAGCTCATAACCCAGTCTCCCAGCCAGAGAGGTTTGTGCTCAGGGGAGGGGCCCGATGGTGGCACAGACACTTACGTCCAGGTGCAAAAGTCTGTTAAGGAGCAGTGTCGTCTTGAAGGGTCACACAGATGGGCTGATGTGTCTCAGAGCACCCCTGTGTCAGCACCCCGGAGTCTGTTCTGATGCGTGGGTGCCTAGCAACAGGGGTCTGGGGGTAGGATAGGCAAGATAAGGGCAAGAGAATAATGGCACAGAAGTAGCGACCTCAAACCAGCCAGGCTTCCCCATACCTGCCTGGGCACCATGCAGCTGGTCTGTAGATCAGAATCCAAGCAGCACAGTTTCTTTGAGAACTTGCCTTTTCAGTAGCTTCCTGTTTCCAGAATGACACTGTCCACAGTGCAAGTCTGAGCTTGCCAAGGTACAACAATATGTATGATGGGCTTTAAACTTCCTGTCATGCGTTCTCTTGAACCTGTCATGACACTGGGGCGTGGGTGTATGGCCCCATCAGGACGTTCACTGCTGGCTTCACTTAGTCCAGGGCCACAGTGCTTACCGGCCCCTTCTGCAGCTGTGTTCCAGCGACAAAATTCTTTGGCCAAAATTACAAATGTTTAATCTTAAAGAAAAATGTTCCAAGCTGGTGATGGCGACACGAGGGTTCAAGTGTATGTTAGACCCTTCTTCCTAATTTTGTGTCTGCTTAAAATTTTCCCTTATAAACAGTAAAGCAAAAGAAGCTAAGAAAAAAGTAAGGGGGAGTCATATCTGTGAGTACAGATAGGGGGTGATCATCAAAGCGCATTAAGTGAAATGAAAGGGAGTGTATGTGGTACACTTCTAACGGCATTCCAGAAAGGGGGGGCAGCTCTGTGTCTGTATGCATGGTGGTGAGCTCCTGGGCTCTTTCTGGGTTAGGAGGTTAGGAGGGCAGCAACAGCAGTAACCTCTGGGTGATGATTGGGCAGCAGGGATGGGAGATACCAAATCCCAGTTTGCTCTTTTGTGCTACTCAGATTTTTTTAGACATGTGAATGGATTCCTTAAAATTTAAAAGTGAAAAAAATTAAAAAGAGTTAAACATGAGCATTAGACTTGGCAGTATATAAAATGGAAATGATCTCGGGAGGAAAGAGGTGGGCGCACCTTCACCTTGTGTCTGCCCTCACAGACTCGAACCTCCTGGGAGGTGGCGAGGGGGGTCTGCTTGGAATTTCCTTCTTTTACACATGTTCTGAGAATGCTGGGCTTTTGCTTTCCCCTCAAATGGGACATCAGTTCAGGACACTGTCAAGGAGATTGTGCCATGGAACTTCTCCCTGATACGTAGTCTTACTGGATTGTGGCTTTGTGGGTTGGATGATGGTGGGGAGTTGATGTACTCGTTGGTCTCATGATGGCTTTGAACATGTGTTCCCCCTCCCACCGCAGTTAACTTGGAGACCATGTGTGCTGATGATCTGCTCTCGGTCCTGTTGTATTTGCTTGTGAAAACAGAGATCCCCAACTGGTAATATTTTCTGTTAAAATACTTTTGCAAAATGGCAGCATTGTACCAGGGTGGTTTTAGCATAACTCCAGGAAATCGCATGCCCCTTATGAGTCCATGGCTGTGTCTGCGCTGGAGATGGTGGCCGTCGTCCCATTTACAGATGGGGAAACTGAGGCCCGGAGAGCTTATGTTGTTTGTTCTGGAACACGCAACTAGTCAGTGACTGAGTAGAACGCCGACTCCACTTGTGTTTGTCTCCAAAGCCTGTCCTCTTCTGATGGGAGCCTCCGGTTCACTTTACAGTAGTCAGCTTTTTCAAAACTGGCATACTTTAGGAAAGGACCAAGAAGTTTTACTTACATTCTCCAGGGCTTAAGTGGGCAGAGTCAGAGCTCCTGGAGCTAACCGACTTCAGTCACTCATGCCCATAGCGCTGTTCCTGGAGATGTGCGAATTGGGTCCACAACAGTGAAAATATTTTTCTTCCTTTTGTTAGGATGGCAAATTTGAGTTACATCAAAAACTTCAGATTCAGCAGCTCAGCAAAAGATGAATTGGGGTACTGCCTGACTTCGATTGAGGCTGCGATCGAATATATTCGTCAAGGAAGCCTCTCCGTTAAGCCGCCTGTAAGATCCCTCCTGCCCTGGCCTTCCTTTGTGGGTGTCCGGGCACCTTTGGTAGGGTTCTGAGGTTGGCAGGTGGAGAGGGGTGGTTCTTCTTTTTTTCCTTTCAAGATTTATTTATTTGAGATTGAGAGAGAGCGAGTGAGCGCACATGCAGGGGAAGCAGCAGAGGGAGAGGGAGTCCGATGTGGGGATTGAACCCAGGATCCTGAGATCATGACCTCAGCCCAAGGCAGACGCTTAACTGACTGAGCCACCCAGGCGCCCTGGGAGAGGGTGATTCTTTTTTTTTTTTTTTTTAAGATTTTATTTATTTATTTGACAGGCAGAGATCACAGGTAGGCAGAGAGGCAGTCAGAGAGAGAGGAGGAAGCAGGCTCCCTGCTGAGCAGAGAGCCCGATGCGGTGCTTGATCCCAGGACCCTGAGATCATGACCTGAGCCGAAGGCAGCGGCTTAACCCACTGAGCTACCCAGGCGCCCCAGGGATGTGGATTCTTAAATGGTCTCCCAAGAACCGGGGTCTCTGCTGTCTAAGGACTGTGGGGCTTGACAGCCATCCAGCAGCCTGAAACGTCAAGCACCCAGTTGGGTGTGCAAGTTGGCAGAATATGGGTGGGATTCACAGTTAAAAGCCTGCTTTGTCAGTCCTTGCCATCCTCAAAAAAAAAAAAAAGCACATAGGCAGAAGGGAGAGGCTAGAAACCATGAGTTTGGATATCTAGGCAAGTGATGGGATTATTGACATAATGCAGTTTTAGGACTCACCAGCCTCATTATGATTTTCTTGGTGAGCGTTCCTTAGGGGAGGCACTTGTATTTCTATGGGATGTGTGAGATCTTACACCAAGATCGCATTGCTAGCTTGTTGCACCGGCTGGCAAAATGTGACAGTATGCACATAATTTCAGCAGCGTTGAAAGTAATAAGGTGAAGAGATTCCTGTATTGCACACCAGGAGTCCTGAGGACTGAGCATTCCCTCGATCTTAGAATCTCCCCCAAGTAATGATAAGTTAAAACAGCTGGAAAAAACCAGAGGCCTGCCCAGATAGGTGCACTTGGGTGAAATAATTTGTTATTAAAATCTTTATGTGTTTTCCCATCTTTCTCCCATCTATGTGTACTTCACATGATTTAAATTCTACTGTATATAACATTTTACACTCTTTTTCCTGAAAGAATAGTTTTTTGTTTTTTGTTTTTCTGCTTGGGAGACTAATCCTTGCTTATAAGCAATATTTACAGTATACAGTTGACCTTGAACAACGCAGGGGTTAAAGTTGCTGACCCTCCACATGGTTGAAAATCTGTGTGTAACTTGTGATCCCCCAAGAACTTAGCTACCAGGAGCCTGCTGTTGGCCAGAGTCCTGATGACATAAATCGTCGAGAAATACATATTAGATTTATTATATGTATCGTATACTGTATTCTTAGAATAAAGTCAGCTGGGGGAAAATGTTTTTAAGGAAGTCGTAAGAAAGAAAACATTGCATTTTGAGGAATGTACTGTGTCTGTCATCATCCAAGTGGACCCGTGCAGTTCAGACCTCTGTTGTTCGAGGGACAGCTCTATACACTTGAAGTGAAGACAAAAAATACCTCTCTCAAATTCACCAGCCCGGGGACGACTTATTAACGTTTTGGTGCCTATACAACTTTTTAAAAAAGATTTTATTTATTTATTTATTCATTTATTATTTATTTTTTAATTAAATTTTTTTTTACAATTTAAATTCAGTTAGCCAGCATATAGTATATCATCAATTTTTGGTGTAGTGTTCAGTGATTGATTAGTTGCATAAAACACCTAGTGTTTATCACATCATGTGCCCTCATTTTATTTTTTATTTTTATTTTTTAAGATTTTATTCATTTATTTGATAGACAGAGATCACAAGGAGGCAGAGAGAGGCAGGCAGAGAGGGAGAGGGGGAAGCAGGCTCCCTGCTGAGCAGAGAGCCCGATGCGTGGCTTGATCCCAGGACCCTGGGATCATGACCTGAGCCGAAGGCAGAGGCTTTAACCCACTGAGCCACCCAGGCGCCCCAGCCCTCCTTATTTTAGAGAGAGTGTGTGCATGAGCAAGGGGAGGAACAGAGAGACGGAGAGGGAAAGAGTCGAGCAGACCCCACGGTGAGTGAGGAGCCTGACACAGGGCTCCATCCTGAGATGATGACTGGAGCCAAAACCAAGAATCGGACGCCTAGCCGACTGAGCCACCCAGGCGCCCCTCTCCAATTGTATTTTAACTGAAATTTAAGATTATGCTCCTCTTATTGGCATGTAGGCTGGTGGTAGGAATTGCCTGATGCCTCTCCATGGGTTCAAGGGCGCCCCTTGTCGCCTGGAGAGAGGGGTTGCCATTCCCTTGCTGGCTGTCCTGCTTGCCTGCTTTCTGTAGCCTGTAGACAGCTAACACTTGGAGCCTTAGTGGAAGGAGTGGAAGGAGGTGGTTGACCACACAGCACCAGTTGGCTTCCCACACCCACTTTGACTTCAGACAACATCTGGAGTGGGATTGGAGGAGTTCTTTTGGTTTTTCTTTTTTACTTATTTATTTATTTAAGATTTTATTTTTAAGAAACCTCGACATCCACCGTGGGGCCAGAACTCACAATCCCGATATCGAGACTGATGTAGCTTTAGCGACAGTTAGCCAGGCGCCCCTGGATTGGGGAGGCTTTGAGGGGTGGCCCCTCTTGTGCTGGTGCTGGTTCTGGTTCAAGCCCTGTACTTGTATTTGCCCTTGGGCAAGTCCTTATCTCTTCTCTTTCTGTCCATGTCTTGTCTACACTGAAGGTGATGCTGTATGTTTCACCTCTTGCTAGGAGTTTCTAAGGATGAACTAGAGGGTTTAGAAGTGCCTTTGTGAAGCATGAGCTGGTACTCCTGTCCTCAGCTTGCTTTTCCAACACCCCCGCATCTGGGTGTCTCATTTCCTGGTTCTCCGGGGCATCCTGCGTGGATGGCTTCTGTGGGCAATGTGGGGACACCGCCCATTGTGCCCCTCTTGTCTGAGGTGTCTGCCCCTGGTCCTGGTCCTGCCTTCCTGGATGGGGGCAGCTGGTCCCATCAGGTGTCAGGATAAGGTGTGCCTTATCCTTACAGCTGGCTGTGGAGCCAGCCCCTTGGGCCTTGAGTGGGACAGGCCTTAGAGATGCTCTTTCCTGTGTTGACAGAACAGGTGTCATGGCTTCCTTGTCTTTTGTGATGCCAGCCTTGAGGTTCTGCCTTGGCCTTGGTCAGCCTTAGCTGCTGACTGGCTTCCTGTCCCAGTACAGTTCTGTCTTGGAAGGTGTGAGGCCAGTGTGATGTGTCTGTGTCCCTTCCTGGGGAAGGAGCTCAGGTGGCTCTCCACACAGCAGGTGACGTTTCTGGAGAGCAGTCAGGACTCAATATCAGTAAATCAAATTTTGTCTTCCTATTGCCTCTTTATGTACTATGATGTAGCTTCACAGAAATTTCCCCCCTTAATAACTGATTGTACCTGAGGTGACCATATATGCATTTTTTAAGCTTAAAGACTTAGAAGTCTTGTAAATAAAGACTAGCTTATTGAAAATGAGCATTAGTGGGATGATGCTAGTTTAACCTTTGTAGACCAAAAACCAGGGAAAACCTTGAAAGAATCGGTTCCCTTCTCTGTTCCAGCTTTGTGGGCTTCTGGTCTTTCTCACTGTACTGGGTTTCTCATAACTAATATATACCCCCCTCCCAGATAGATCTGAGCTGATACGCTGTCTCTTCCAGTAGGTCATTTCTCCTTGAAGGTTCAGGCCCCAAGGACTTGCCTTTCTTCATCATTGCTCTTCATATAGTCACCCAGAGTGGAGGAAGGAAACCCCACATCTACCAGCGTGACAGTGTCTTTCACATTTCCCTGACCCTAATCTGCTTGACTGCAAATCACTGAGTAAAACGTGTTGTTAGAGCTTCATATAGCAACTGGCAGCTGGCAGCAAATGGGCTCTCATTCTGAGGGGTTGGTGTGTGTTTAATGCTCTTAGGGCTGCTGGTGTGAGGGACCGTGCCGACAGAGGACCCCAGAAAGGGGCCGTCCCTTGAGGTGCCACCCAGGCCCTGTCTTTAGCTGGATCTCTGCGTCAGAACTTAGCTGTAATGGGCGTTATCCCATACCTTTGTCAGGGTTCCGTGAGTTCTTCCGGCAGCAGCTGGCTGGGGGGTAGAAGCCGCCCTTACCTCCCACGGAGACTTTTTTGAGGAAGTTCATTTGTCATCAGTCAAGTTGCATGTGGTTGGGAGAAGTGTTGAACTGTCTCGCTAGGAATTATTTCATAGAGAAGGATGCGTTTTTAGATTTGTGTATTTAAGTAAACATTACCTGTAACACGAAGACCTGGGTTTCTTATTTAGGGGCGACCCCAGTGTATTATGGGATTCAGAAAGGGTGGCCCTGTTCATCTGCTATTTTATGTTATTATTTTTATTTTTTTATTATTATTATTATTATTATTTTTATTTTTATTTTTTTTTTTTTAGCAATAGCATCTTTATTCGTAATAGCCCAAAGCTGGAAACAACTCCATGTTCATCAACTGATTAATGAATAAACAAAATGTGGTACATTTAAACTGGAATGGTGCAAAAAGGAAAAAGAACTACTCATATTGGCAGTAATTTTAATGGTTCTGAAGGAAATTATGTGGGATATTGGTGGGGGGGCAATTCCAAAAGGTTATATCCTGCATGATTCCATTTATATAACAGTTTTGAAACAACAAAATTATAGAGCTGGAGATTAGTGATTGCCAGGGCTTGGGTGGGGGGAATGAAGTGAAGGTAAAGGGTAATACAAGGGATCCTTGTGATGAAGCTTTTCTGTCTTAATTGTGGTAGTGGCCACAGTAGTCTACACGTTTGATAAAATTGCATAGAAACATACACACACACACAGAGGAATGTACGTAAATCTGGTGAAATCTGAATAAAGAAGGTCGATTGTATCAATGTCAGTTTCCTGGTTGTGACATTGTACTATAGTTAATGCAAGATGTTACCACTGGGGGAAACTGGGTGAAGGATATAAAGGATCTGTCCATATTCATTTCTTACAACTAGGTATGAATACACAGTTATTTCAAAATAAAAACTTTTTTTAAAAAACACTCTCTCAATGTCTAGGTTAAAAATAAAAACCAAACACATGTTCCAGTTTGGACAATAACTTAAGTGCTCACCCTAGTTATCTTCTCTAATACAGAAAGGTTCTAGAAATTGCTGTTGCTAGATCTACACGCTGCTGCTGACAGGGAGAAGTTGGGGGGCGGGGAGCACTCACGCTCATGGGGAGAAATTCTGAAGGTCAATGCCAATCTTAAGAGTGACTGGGGAGGTGCCCTGCTGTTAACTGTCACATGAAGTCCTTGTTGCGTTTCTTGTTTCATGAAGCAAAACAGTAGAGAAACTGACTGGGAAGTAGAAAGGGAGTCTTGCTATTCTGTCATTTCTAGCTGATGAGTCTTCTCGGCATTCGGAAGTGGTGAGACTTGGTGTTCTGGTCGTTCCCACTCTTGAACAGGTCGCAGGCTCGGTGAGCTCGGAGCGCAGCCGGAGGCCAGGCAGACGGGAGCAATTGGACGCTGTTCCCTGAGGGCGCACTGAGGAGTGGGACCCCGAGCTCTCGGCTCCTCCGGGCCGGAGACGGGGAGGCCGCCATCTTCCTTCCCGTCCTCCGGCTTTTTTTATTATTTTTTTAAAGATTTTTATTTACTTGTTTGACAGACAGAGATCATAAGTAGGCAGAGAGGCAGGCAGAGAGAGAGAGGGGGAAGCAGGCTCCCTGCTGAGCAGAGAGCCCGATGCGGGGCTCCATCTCAGGACCCTGGGACCATGACCCAAGCCGAAGGCAGAGGCTTCAGTACACTGAGATTTTATTTATTTTTTTGACACAGAGAGATCACAAGTAGGCAGAGAGGCAGGCAGAGAGAGAGAGAAGCAGGCTCCCCACTGAGCAAAGAGCCGGATGTGGGGCTCAATCCCAGGACCCTGAGATCATGACCTGAACTGAAGGCAGCAGCTTCATCTGCTATTTTAGTAAGAATGTTCAGAAAGCAAGACTTCTCTCCTGTTGGGTGACACTGGGAAATCTAGAACAGTCTGTCAGATGGTTGTCCTCTCTGTATGCCCAGATAAAGTGGCAGGGGCTAGGGCTCTGCAGGCTGTAGAACAGTGGTTTGAGAGGAGGAGGCCAGGGCAAACCAGGCTTCTGCCCAGAGGAGGTTGGTGTGAACGTGCTACATTCCACACTGAGTGGTGACACATTCCACACGTGCACAGAGGCAGCGTGACCCCAGACACCCCCCCTTCACCTCCATCAAACAGCTGCTTCCTGGGGGGACAGACGGGAAGCGCTTTGCCCAGCCCGGTGAGGATCTGCTCTCTGGCCCAGGGAGAGAGGCTCTGCCGACAGTGTTCTGTGAGGAAGTAGCCAGGACTGCTCCCAGGTTCTCCGTGTGGAAGGGTCTGCACGGACATGTTGTGACAAGTCAATAAAACAGATTATTGGGCTTTTCCTGCAGGAGTCTGAGGGATTTGGTGACCGACTGTTCCTGAAGCAGAGAATGAGCCTACTGTCTCAGATGACTTCAACTCCCATTGATTGTCTGTTTAAGGTAAGAAACCGGCACGTCCCTTGAGGGCACAGGCGGGTGAGGGATGTTTTGTTTTTCCGCATCTCTAAGCTCTTTCCAGCATCCATCAGGGGGATGTGCTTGGTTCAACACGGAAGTTCACGTTGGTGGTCAGAGAGGGTGGTCGGGGTGCTGTGGTTTGATGTCTGTGCATCTCCCCCAAGGTGTGCTGTGCCGTGGCCAAGAGGGACAGCACGCCTGAAGCCCTGTGCCCGGGCTGTCCTCTCTCCACCTGTTCGTCAGGGTCTGCTCCGAAGTGCCCCCCTGGGTGGTCTCAGTAGAGCTGATGGCTCTCCTGGGCTCCGGGGACCCGTGTTGCCAACGTTCATGGGAGCACGTGCCAGGGCAAGAGCTCAGCACGCAGCGGCTCCCTGCTCAGATGTGACCGACCCTTGGGAGGCTAGCGAGGTGCCCGCCCGGGTGGTCGGCGAGGGCTGGGTGAGGGCCAGGGCAGCATGTTCCCTAAAGCATCTCGCTCCCCGAGAGGAACACATCTTGCTGAGCCCTGCACTGTAGCCTTGTTTGTTGATGGGCTCTCTTGCTAATGCAGCCATTTCTGTTCCCCCCAAACCAAGGCTCTGTTAGGACCCAAGAGGACGGGACGGAGGCGTGTTCTAGGGAGGAGCCTGTGTCCACCCTGAGGTTCCAGGAGGCATGATCCTCCCCCACCATTGCTTTGGGAATTTTGTCCTGTTGTCGTTTTAAGCTACGGATGATTTATAGCATTTGCAGAAGTAGAGAATATAAATGCACAGCCACGTGGCCATCTCTGTCCTGTTTTATCTCCATCCCCAACCTGCTTTCCGTGTCTGCCCAGATTATTTCAGAACACATCCCAGACAGCCAGTCATCCAGGCGCCCCCAGATATGTGTTTTTGTAAGGAGGCTCCAAACATTTACGCCTGAAGAAGAGAAGAATTTCTTCACTTTGATAGTATTTTTGACGTCCCTTTGTAGCACATAGCGGCGGGTAACCAGAAAGAAGTGGAGAGACTTTTGAGCCAAGATGACCAAGATAAAGATGCCGTCCAAAGGATGTGTCACCCTCTGTGCTTCTGTGATGACTGTGAGAAACTTGTCTCCGGGTAAGAGGGTCCCCACGGAGGCTCAGTGTGTGGCATGCGGGAGGTGCAGGCCTGGGGAGATGTCTCCACTAGTTTGCTGTGGTTTCCCTTCCCCTTGTCGGGCTGTTCTGCTGGGTGTCAGAGCCTACAGGGATGGGTAGGGGAGGGACGCTGGAACCAGATGCCTCACCCTGCAGGAGACTGAGCAGGGCCTGGATGAGCTTTGTGACGCTGTTGAAGAGATCCAGCTTGGGTCTGGGGCTAGCAGACCTGAGATGGGTCTGCTAGCCCCAGGACTCTGGCATGTCCAGCCTGGAAGGGAGAGGCTTTTCCCTGCCATTCCTAGGGTGTATTTTTCTGTATTTTCCATCTCTCTTTCTCTCTCTCTCTCTCTCTCTCTTTTTTTTTGAAAGTGAGAGTAGGGGTGGGGAGGTACAGAAGGAGAGGGAGAATCTTTTTTTTTTTAATATTTTTATTTATTTATTTGACAGAGATCACAAGCAGGGCGAGAGGCAGGCAGAGAGAGAAGGAGGGGAAGCAGGCTCTCTGCCAAGCTGAGAGCCTGATGCAGGGCTTGATCCCAGGATCCTGGGGTTATGACCTGAGCTGGAGACAGAGGCTTTAACCCACTGAGCCACCCAGGTGTCCCGGAGAGGGAGAATCTTAAGCAGCCTCCATGCCCAGCATGAGCCAAATGCTGGGCTTGATGTCACAACCCTGAGATCATGACCTGAGCCAAAATCAGGAGTTGGATGCCCAGCCAACTGAGCCATCCAGATGTCCCCCCTCTTCTTCCTCTTTTAGGAGGCTGAATGATCCCTCCATTGTCACTCCATTTTCCAGAGATGACAGGGGTCACACACCGCTCCATGTGGCCGCCCTCTGTGGTATGTGGTCTTGGGATGGTCTATGGTTGGGCTACTTTGCCTTAAAGGGATGGAGCCAGGGGTGGCCCAGCAGAGGCCTGACTGACAGAGGGCTGTGGAGTCAGGGCTGGAAGGGCCCATGTCATGGGCTATGCCCAGGGCCTTTGCTAATTTTTTAGCGGTTGCACAGTATTCCATCCTGTGAACTGAGGAACTGTGGACTCTTCTGTGGATATCTAAGACTCCCTTCCCCTATCTTCTGTTCCTGAAAGGTGGGCCAGAGCTGAGCCCCCTCCAGAGGGCCAGTGGCGGGGGGGGGGGGGGGGCCCCCCCCCGGGGGGCCGGGGGGGGGGGGGGGGGGGGGGTCCACCCCAGAGTGTCCTGAATCTAGAGTCTGACTTGATGTTAGCTCAGGTTCCTCTTAAGGGGAAAAACACTTCCTGGTGTGTCCCCTGCCAGAGAATAAGAGGGCAAAATAATGGGACCCCAGGTTTAGGGTTCGGAGAGCCCCTGCTCTTTCCTTCTCCATGGCAAAACCCCTCTGTTCTGCAGGGCAGGCATCCCTCATTGACCTCCTGGTTTCCAGAGGCGCGGTGGTGAATGCCACGGACTATCACGGCTCCGCCCCCCTGCATCTCGCCTGCCAGAAGGGCTATCAGAGTGTCACGGTGAGCGGGGTGCTATCCCCGTGCCCGTGCTCCCAGGAGCCCGGCTCCGCGCAGCTGCATCATGGTCACGCTCTTGCGTCACAACCTGGCCCTGCTGCAGCCTCCCGGGGCAGGCCACATATCTTAGGCCACGGCACCTCCCTGTGGGCCCACTGGACAGGGCCCTTCGGTGTCGATGTGAAACGTCGTGGCGGCTTTGGAGGAGAAGGGTGGGGCTGTGGGCCTTGTTCTTTAATCTCTCCATGTTTTAAGGGGAAGGATGAGCATGAGGGTGGAACTTTAATTGTAGCATAGGTCACTAAGGTTGCAGGTGGCAAGGTGCGACCTCCCCCGTGAGCCTCTGGGCCGCGCTGCCCGAGGAAGCACGGGCCTCACCTGCACGCTCTCTTCTTTTGGTAGCTGCTGCTCCTGCACTACAAAGCCAGCCCCGAGGTGCAGGACAACAACGGCAACACGCCTCTCCACCTGGCGTGCGCCTACGGCCACGAAGACGTAAGTGGTGCCTCTGTGCCCGGGGTGGCCGGGTTCCCCACTTCCTCGCTTGCCGGGAGATGCGAACGTCTGGTTGGTTGAATGTCGTGCTTCATGTTGATCGTTACTAGAACATTTGGCGTGTAATTTCTTTTTAATTAAAAAAGACTTAAATTTACTACAGCTGCTCCGCTGAAATAACAGAAATCCAAACACGAATTGCCCATTAGCATACCCTGAAATTAAAATCATTTTCATTCACTGCCTGCTGCTATCTGGTTCTTACCTTTGTTCACCTTCAGGTTTTACTTTTTATATTTTTATAGTAATCATGACGATTGCATCATTTCTGTTTCCCCTTAACAGCCAACTGTGTGTGTGTGCGCGTGTGTGTCTGTGTGTGTGTGATTTTGTCCTGGCTGCTCCCTCTCCCATCTTCTCTGTGTGGTAACACTGGGGTGGGTTTACATGTACCCAAGCCTGAGGCTGCGTTAGGGGTGGTTGTGGAAAAATGAAATCGTACCCTCCCCTTTATAAAGCCACTTTCTTCCTTGATGGTACATCATGGAAACCCTGGAGGTCAGTAAATATAGCCCCAGCCCGTCCTTTCGTCACGACACAGTGATCTGTTGTGCGTGTTGCGTCTGTGTCCCTAAGACCACCCCTTAGTTCAGTGCTTTGCGGGGGACGACTGATAGGACTCAGCATGCAGTCCCACGGCTCTGACAGACAATAGCCAAAGGACCCAGAGCACAGTCACCAAAGGGAAAAGGTGCACAGAAGAAGTCCAGAGGAAGCCAGATGCAAGCTTCCAAGTGTCCACTCCCCAGGGAGACGTTCAGGACATCCTCGGTTTGTCCAGCATTGAGTTTAACAGCAAATATGATGGTTGACAACCAGGAAAGCTCTGTAGGGACTCAGGGCCCAGGATTTTTACTGGAAGCTGGTCACGTAAATAACACCCGGGCCTATCACACGCCAGACTTTCAGACTCCTAGAAGGAAAGCAGGTGTTCAGCCTAACCCATGTTGTTGCACGACTTAGACACAGCGAGCCATTCTGGAAATCCAAGCTCCTGACGAACATTGCAGGTCAGGGGCCAGCCTTGCAAGCGGGCCTTGCAGGGGACAGCGGTCTCCGCTGACATGTTGTGGTCATTCTCTTCTGCAGTTGGGTATATCACAATTTATTCAGCCTTTTTTTACTGATCGACAGTTTGCAAAAAAGTGATGTGTCCTGAGGAGGTAACCTTGAGGTCTGTCTCTCTCATTTCTGCACGTTTGCTTGCTGAGAGGAGCCTGGATGAAAGTGCGGTTTGGACCGAGGCTGTGGGGTCCACAGACATGCCTGCGGCATGGCATGCGACTTACGGGTGGTATTTCCCATTTTCTTTGCAGTGTGTGAAGGCCTTGGTCTACTACGACGTGCAGGCGTGCAGACTAGACATCGGTAACGAGAAGGGGGACACGCCACTACACATAGCTGCACGGTGGGGCTACCAAGGCATCATAGAGACGCTGTTACAAAACGGAGCATCCACGGACATCCAGAACAGGCTGAAAGAAACACCGCTCAAGTGTGCACTGAACTCAAAGGTAGCTTTGTTTGCATCTCAGAGCATCAGTATCACTTAAAAAAAAAAAAAAAATCATCAATGTCCAAAGACTGGGTCTTGGCCGTGCTGGACAAGTGGTGCATTAGTGCCTGAGGCCCGAACTTGGCCTGCGCCCTTCCTGCTGCAGTTGGGATCTGGTCGTCTGTGGGTTTTTACTTATTTATACTATCTTCAGCTTTACCAGCAGTTTTTCTCAGTCTTGTTCCAAGAGATGGTCCCAGAAGGGTTGGCCCTGGCCCCTAAGTGCGGTTGGTTTCAGAGCAGGTGACGTGGTGGGGGAGCGGACACGGGGCAGAGGCTCTGGTGGAGAGAAGCGGGGACAGGGCCTGTGGCGTAGAAGCAGCAGTCTGTCTTCCTGTTACTTCCATCCTCATCTCCGAAGTGCCTTCTCTTCTGGCCGGTTCTGATCGTCATTGGGTACGGTTTCTCATAATGAATCAGTCCTTTCCTGTTGGTGATTGCTGGAGCCACGTCAGGGTCTGGCAGTGTGTCGTGAAAGTGCTCCGCTCATTAGGGGGTGGGGAGTGGGGCAGGCGGATTGTGTGCAAAGGCCGGTTCTCTGTGCCTTGCCTCCCGCAACCGCTCCGGCCCAGGGGATGTCCCCGGAGAAGCGTGGCCAGCCCGAGGCCATCGGACCATGTCCCGCGTGTGGTGGTTGTGCGTCCCACACGAGCGATGTCATCTTGATGCCAGCCTCCGGCCCTTTCCCTTCGCGCAGGCTCTGCCGTCTGCCTCGTGTGTTTTACCGGCTGCTCTTAGAGCTCCCAGCTCTGTTCCATGGGCTTCTCTCCGGGTGTTCACATCTCTTTCGAGGAGCGCAGTTTTTGTCTTTTAACCCATTTATTGAGATACGATGGATGCACAAAAAGCCGAACTTATTTAACGTGTGTGACTCAGGGAGCTTGGGGACGAGTACACGCCTGTGACACCCGCTCTGTGACCCGTGCCATGGATGCGCCCGTCACGTCCAGGTTTTTCCTCCCGCCCTCTTTCTGTCATGAGCAGTAGTGCTATGTTGCGTGTGTCCTCCGGACACAGTACGGGGTCCACAGCGGCCGTCAGTCAAGGTGCGAAGCCCTGCTGCTCACCCTGGGTGGGCCCCCGCCCTGTTCCCCAGGCCCTTGCGGGGTGTCGGCTTTGGAGCAGCTGCAGCTGACAGGCCGGGATGGTGTCACGCTTGGCCTGAGGTGTCTGTGAGGAGCAGAGGCACCTCCGCTGTGGTGGCTTCTCCCAGAGGCTCCTTCCAAAGGGAGACAGGCAGAGCAGAGAGCAAACCGCCTTCTTGGCCCAGCTCTGAGCTGTTCCTGATCAAGACCCTGGGGCCGCCAGTGGGAAGGTCACACTGTCTGGGGACCCCTTCTGCACCTGGGCCTCCCTCGTCCTCTGAGCCCATCGCGGGAAGCCCCAGCTCCTGTTGGACAGCGGGGCCTGTGGAGTGGCTGCAGGAAGCCCCCGCTTGCTCCCTGTGGTCCTGTAGGAGCGCCTGCCCACTCGGGAGTTGGTTTCTCTGTCTTTCCAGGGGTGTGGTGGGGCTGCGTGACCTTCGGAGGAGATGGACAGGCAGCTAGACGAATGGGTGACATTACTCTGGTAACTTTTCTCAGTATTTTTCATGTCCCCTTCTCCTCCTAGATTCTGTCAATAATGGAAGCCCATCATCTGACCTTGGAAAGAAGGAGGAAGTCTTCAGAGGTGAGTGAACGGGGCTGGGCTTGGGGGCCCCGCTGGAGACCGCGGCCTGCTCTCTGGCCCTCACGAGGCCCTTCTCCTGTTGGGGCCCCGTGGCCGCAGGTCCCCGTGCAGCCCCCTCAGCACCCTGTGGACTCCATCAGCCAGGCCTCCTCCACCTCCAGCTTCTCCTCTGCGTTGGTGAGCTCCAGACAGGAGGAGCCCAAGAAGGACTACAGAGAGGTGAGGATCCCAGATGGGAGGGCGGCTGCGAGGGCAGCCCTGTGTCGAGGCTACTGGTTAAAGAGCCACGCACGATGAAGGCTGCCCAGTGGGCCTCCGCTGCCATTACTGGGCCAGCGTGTGGGGCACGGCCCGGAGGGGAGCCCAGCCAGGAGTTCTCACCCTGCTCCTTGCATGTGCGGCTCCTGAAGCAGCTCTTTGCTTTGGGGATAGTGTGTGTGTTTGAGACAGAGGGAGAGAGGGGTGTCTTCTAGAAGTCTAAGGAAAGTCACTTGCGGGTCTTCAGATATACGATCATTTTACAAACTCAGTTCTCCGCCCTTACGTTCCACTGCGTAAGCATCCCTTTCAGCCTGAATGATGGTCGTCCTGACTTCTTGCCAACATGTTGTGTTCTGTGAAAAGCAGTTTATAGCCCGTTTTTTTTTTTTTTTTTAATTCTTCTCCATTTAACCTCTCTGTGAGCTCATCCAGCGTCAGCCCATAGAGCAGACCATCCTATGAACAGGCCACACTCCTCTGCCTGTTCCTCTGTGCACGGGGAGCCTCCCTGCCTCTGTGCAGGGCGTTTGTCCCCCGCCACCCCCAAGCTGTGACCTGCACTTGGAGGGCCCGAAGAGCTTAGCCTGATGTGACAGCACAGGAGACAAAGCTGGGAGACACGTTCCAGGGTCTGAGAGAGCCCTGGCATGGTTCCTGGTGTGCTCTTAGCTGTTAGATGATGAGGGCTGAGTACACGTGACCCTGTAGGCTTGTGCTTCATTCGCAGTGACCGGCGTCTTCCTTGGCCACATTACCAGATCACTCCCCAGGCGTCAGGGGAAGCTGGGTTCGGTATGCGCTGGCGCCCTGCTGGACGGCCCAGCCGGACAGTGTCAGACATGTGCTTGCAAGATGCTGAATGAGGTGTTAAAACTCCACAGACCGAGACAAATGAGAGCTTCTGGGTTTTCTATTACTACTTTATTATTGAAATCATTTCCTAACATTGTTTTTCCTTTACTTAAGGTAGAAAAACTCTTAAGAGCGGTTGCTGACGGAGATCTGGAAATGGTGAGTTTTTAGCAGCACGTCTAAAAAAGCTTGCTGTCGTGAGAAGAGCTGAGCCTGTTTCTGGTCTCTGGTTCAGTCAGGAGCTACGTCCTGTTCCCTTTCACATGGCAGGGCTGCATTTAATGAATATGGGGTCACGTAGGTGTTCGTGTTTTCCTGTCATGTAAGGAAGCAGGTGGTCATAAAGCCGCACAGAAAGCCTTTCAGACGTCTGGGTTCCAGGACGCTGCTGAGGTGCTGGCCAGCCCACCGTGTGTGGGAGCACAGAGTGTGGGCTCCGGTCCCGGCCCGCTAGCTGGGAGCAGCGTGCTCAGGCAGGGCGGGTAGAGAGGAGGGGTGGCGGGTGGAGTGGGTAGTGCCAGAGCCCAGAGGCCCCGCTGTGCCCGTGGAAATGGTGGGACCTGGGCAGGAGGCTGAGGTCTGAGGCATGGGAGTCCAAGGTGTCCCAGGTGTCCCAGGCAGGGTGTCCCGATGAGGTGGTGCTGGCTGTTGGCTTGGGGAGGAGAAGGCCTGGCTGGGGTGGGGGGCGGTGTCTGCCCCAACCCTCCCTGCAGATGCCAGGGAACATCTGGTCAGGTCATGGAGAGCAGAGGCAGCCTTCCTTAGATTCCATGGATGGTTTCCCTGGCTTGCCTTTGGCTTCCTGAAAGGAAGTGTTTTCCACTTTAAAAGGAGCAGTAACATAGGTTACTATGAGGAGCTCAGAATAAATCATCTAACGAGGGAGCTTGATGCTGCTGTGTGCTTCAGGAGGGCTTTTTGCAGATGATCCGGCTTGAGGTGGAGCATAGAAGTTACTAGAGTCTGATTATGACCACCTTGGGGATGTTCGGAATCTGACTGTAGTTTCCAGTGTATTCGCTTTTATCAGTGCACCAGACTGACACATGGTCCCTCTGGGGAGCGGGACAAGGATGTCTATACGATATGTGTCTTCTCATGAGACTGGTCCCAGGAGAACTCAGCATTGTTTGGAGGAAGCAGAGTAGGACTTCCTCAGGCCCCTTGGAGCCCTGGTGTGAACCAGTGGCGTAGTCTGTGTGGAGAACCGATTATGACTGTCCCTGCGTCATGAATACCCACTCCTCCTTCTTCTGTGGGTGGGTGAGGAGGCTGAGGCCATTCGTGAAGGCGGCGAGCAGAGGCAGACCACCTGGTGCCCAGGGGTCCCCACCCAAACTGATCTACCCACGTGACAGCCTCCAACCCCTGTCCAAGGCACCTGCCCCTGCTCCCCCCGTTCTTGTTCCTCCCCTTGTCTGTCCCAGCTAGCCTGTTAGCTGAGGCTCTTGGGTCAAGGCCTTTGGGATTTCCATGCTCAGGGGTGTCTGCTGTCAGGATGTGGAAGGGATATGGAGGAGAGACTTTTGGGCTTGAAGGTGGCCTTCTTGAAGCCCTTGTCACTCCCCACATGCACGTGCTGACTTCCTCAGTGCTCGGAACCAGGCCTAGAAATGTATTCATATTGTTTCCAGTTTTCAAATTTAATATTCTAGAGACTAGTTTCTACTACAACATAAATTTGACCTTTTTCTGGTGGTTTTCAGTGCGTTCGTGTGTGGCTACTGCGTGGCTAGTGCGTGGAGGGGTTGCGGGAGTGGCGTCAGGGAGCCCGAGTGTCGGTTCTGACCACCGCTTCCTAGTTGTGTGGCTTTGGGTGAGATTCCCTCTCAGAGTGAGTTTTCTCCCAGGTTAGAAGGGACGAGTGGTGTTTTTGTTTTTTTTTTAAAGACTTTAGTTTATTTATTTGACAGAGATCACAAGTAGGCAGAGAGGCAGGCAGAGAGAGAGAGAGGAAGAAGCAGGCTCCCTGCTGAGCAGAGAGCCTGATGCAGGGCCCAATCCCAGGACCCTGGGATCATGACCCAAGCCGAAGGCAGAGGCTTAACCCACTGAGCCACCCAGGCGGCCCGGGACGAGTGGTTGTTGAAAGAGTACAATTAGATAATACAAGCCCAGGTGCTTGTGAAATGCTCCAGGACCGGGGAGTGAAAGCAGCACCACGCTGTCACACTTCTCTTTTAAGATAAAGGAATCTCTGGGGCGCCTGGGTGGCACGGTCGGTTAAGCATCTGACTCTTGATTTCAGCTCAGGTTGTGATCTCAGGGTCCTGGGATCGAGCCACACGTCAGGCTCTGTTCAGCTCAGTCTTTTGGATTCTTTCTCCCTCTTCCTCTGTCCCTCCCATTTGTGCTCGCTTGCTCTCTAAAAGAAATAATTCTTAAAAAAAAAAAAAAAAAAAGATGAAGGAGTCTGTACCACAAGCTGTAGAAATGGCAGCTAAAGTTCTCTGCATCACTAGTAAAAGGACTAAAATCACTGGTGGTTGAGAAAGTGTAGGCCCTGGTCTGGGAGCGTGTGTGTGTGTGTGTTGTGTGTGTTGTGTGTGTAGGGGAGGGAGGGAGGGAGAGATACTGTAGCTTGTAAAGGAACTAAGGATGAGTTTTAAGCTCCCGTTTCTCCTTCCTGCCCAACACCAGGTGCGCTACCTTCTGGAGTGGACCGAGGAGGACCTGGATGAGCTGGAAGGTGCCATCAGCATAGACAGTATTGAATTTTGTCACCCCCTGTGCCAGTGCCCAAAATGTGCTCCAGCTCAAAAGGTTTGGCTTTGCTTCCATTGGTGTGGCTGGGGGTGGGGATGGGGAGGCAAATAATTCTTCTTCGCTGAGGGAAGTTGTCTGCTTCCCAGCCAGCTGGTTCCGCAGTGGCTGTTAGCTGGCATCCTCTGAGATGTGGTGAGGTTTAGTTGTTTAGCTCAGGGAGGAGGGAGGCTAACACGAGTGTGGATCTGGCTTGGGCGCCTTGCTTTCTAAATGGGCAGTTCAGGGAGCAGAGACATGCACATGTGCTCAGTGTTTCAGCTGCTCTGCAGGCCCCTGAGTCACAAGGCAAGAGTCCATGGCTGAGGGTGTCTGTCCACATGGCTGCCAGTCCCCTGAGGAAGCTGCACTCGAGATCCATTGCCCACAGTCTTTGCTTAAGTTGGTCCACCTTCTGCAGGAGGACCCTCCCTCCAAATATAGAGGATCCCCTGTGTCCTTTACCCAGTTTCCCCCAGTGGTAACAGCTTGCAAAGCCACAGGACTGTTTCTTATCCAGGATATTGACACAGGAACAGTCCACACATCTTATCCACAGTTCTTTGATTTTACCTGTGCCCAGTATGCATGCGTGTGTGTGCACGTGTGTTCACTTTCATCACACACATAGCTTTGTGCATCTACCACCACACTGAAGGTACCAACAAGCTCCCTCATTATGGAGAGATCTACTCACGTTGCCTTTTCCCACACCCATCTGCCCCCGTGCTGCCCCCTAAACCCTGAGTTAATTTTTGTACAAGGTGTGAGATTGAGGTTGAGGTTCATTTTTTTGCCTATGGATGTCTTCCTGTTTTCATCACTTGTTCAAAATACTATCCTTCCTCCATTGACTTGCTGTCCCACCTTCGTTGATAATATACAGTGTGGGTGTCTCTGCAGGGTCTGTGTTCCATTCCATGATCTGTGCATCTGTCCTTCCACCAGTTCCACACTGTCTTGATTACTGTAGCTAGAGGAAACTTTTGTATCGGATAGAGTCATTCTTCGTAACTTGCTCTTCTTTGCCAGGATCATTATAGCTACTCTAAGGCCTGTGGGTTTGTTTATGTCTACCAAAAATCTTACTAGGATTTTGGTAGGAATTGCATTAAAAACTGTAGATTAGGGACATCTGTGTGGCTCAGTTAGTTAAGCGGCTGCTTTCAGCTCAGGTCATGATCCTGGGGTCTTGGGATTGAGTCCTACATCGGGCTTCTTGCTCAGCAGGGAGCCTGCTTCTCTCTCTGCCTCTGCCTGCCACTCTGCCTACTTCTGCTCTGTTTCCGACAAAAAAAAATAAAATCTTAAGACAAAAAACAAAACCTGTAGATTAAGTTAGGGAGAAATGACATCTTTACTGTGCTGACTTCATGAACATGGTATATCTCCAAATATTCTGGCCACCTTTGATTTCTTTGATTTCTTCATCATTCTGTGAGTTTTGGCATACAGATCCTGCCCATGTTCTCTTAAGTGTATACTTAAGTATTTCATTTTCTTTTGAGAAATTGTAGATGGTATTGTGTATAGAGCATGTGCTTGTGTGCTAGCTATTTAACTCAATATGTATGTCCCATACTGAGAGAATTAGACTCTGCAAAACAGATAGTGTTGTCCTTTGTATTATAAGATAATCTGGACTTATTTTAAAAAGCTTCACATGGGTCATTCTAACCCAATAATACTGAAATGAGTGAAACTTCCATTCACATGTAGCTTTTTAGCTCGCTCCAGGGTCATTTGTACATTAGGGATGTACAGCTTTTGTTCTGTCGCAATGCTGCTGGATGGGGACAGCCCAAAGAATTATTTCCCCTGTGTAGACTGCTATAAAAAGCTAAGGGATTGGGGCGCCTGGGTGGCTCAGTGGGTTAAGCCGCTGCCTTCGGCTCAGGTCATGATCTCAGGGTCCTGGGATCGAGCCCCGTGTCGGGCTCTCTGCTCAGCAAGGAGCCTGCTTCCTCCTCTCTCTCTGCCTGCCTCTCTGCCTGCTTTGTGATCTCTCTCTGTCAAATAAATAAATAAAATCTTTAAAAAAAAAAAAAAGCTAAGGGATTAAAAAGGCAGATGATGTTCAGAAGGATACGATGTGCAGTGACTGTACTTCAGGCCCGGTCTTGACTCTGTGGCCAGAGGCAGTTAACTGTGTATCCCTGTCACTGTTCTTGCCTTTGTCCTAGACTCTGTTGTTCCCCACCTCATAGTTCATTAGTTGTAACAAGAAACTGGATTACACATTAAAATAAATGTTGGATTTATTGAATAAAATCTTCCATCCTTTGCTTTTTTTTTTTTTTTTTTAAGATTTTATTTATTTATTTGAGAGAGACACAGCAAGAGAGGGAACACAAGCAGGGGGAGTGGGAAAGGGAGAAGCAGGCTTCTTGCCGAGCAGGGAGCCCGATGTGGGACTTGATCCCAGGATCCTGGGATCATAACCCAAGCTGAAGGCAGATGCTCTATGACTGAGCCACCCAGGCGCCCCCATTCTTTGCTTTCTTAAAGCCTCTTTTTCTCATTTTGAAATTTCTCCAAAAGACACAAAAAGACATAAAAAAGACATTTCTATGGAAATTGCTTCATGTCTGTGACTTAGCTAATCACCCCCTGGCCCCACCCTCTTCTAGCCTACTGGTGTGTTTAGAGTATTTGCTTAAAAAACCTTTATTGGGGACACCTGGGTGGCTCAGTTGGTTAAGCAGCTGCCTTCGGCTCAGGTCATGATTCCAGCATCTTGGGATCATGTCCCACATCGGGCTCCTTGCTTGGCAGGGAGGCCTGCTTCTCCCTCTGCCTCTGCCTGCCATTCTGTCTGCCTGTGCTCACTCTTTTGCTCTCTCGCTCTCTCTCATGAATAAATAAATAAAATCTTGAAAAAAAAACCCAAAAACCTTTATTGAAGTACAATTTACACCCGATAAAGTCCTGTGTACCATGTACAGTGTGTTGAGTTTCTGCAGACATGTAAAAGCATGAAGCCATGATCGCCGTCTAGATCCAGAACTCTCCATCACTCCTGAGGGTTTTCTTGGGCTTTCCCCCTTCCTCCCCAGGTCTGCTGTCTGTCATCACAGATCCCTTGGCATTTTCTAGAATTTTACAGGAGTGGAAACCAGACAGGACACACTCTTTTGAATCTGGCTTCCTTCTGTCAGCGGAATGTGTTGAGATCCACATGGGGTCAGTGGATTTCTTTCTTTTTGTCGCTGGGTAGTATTTTGTTGACTATACTATAATCTGTCAAATCACCTGTTGATGAGCATTTGAGTAGTTTCCTGTTTGGGGATTTGTGAAGAAAGTTAGTGTGAACATTTGTGAGCAAGTCTGTGTATAAGTGTATGTTTCCTTGGGTAAATACCTCGGGCTGTAATTGCTGGATTATGTAGTAAGTGCGTGTGTAACTTAATAAGAAACTGCCAGCTTTCCAGAGTGATTTTCCATCTTCCGTTCCTGCCACCAGTGTGTGAGAGTTCTAGTTGCCCCACATCCTTGTGACTGTTCAACTTCAGCCATTCCTGTAAATGTGCAGTATTTCATTGTGTTTTTTTTCTCCCTACTTCTTCATCTGTTTGTTTTTTATCTTTTGAGGTTCAGTTTACATGCAGCAAAATTCACCCTTTTAACTCACCATGCCGTTTTTCTGAGAGGGAACCTTTTTAATCATCAAAAAGTGAACTAGGGACGCCTGAGTGGCTCAGTGGGTTGGGCCTCTGCCTTCGGCTCAGGTCATGATCCTATGGTGCTGGGATCGAGCCCCGCTTCGGACTCCCTGCTCAGTGGCGAGCCTGCTTCTCTCTCTGCCTCTGCCTACCACTCTGCCTGCTTGTGCACACTCTCGCTCTCTGACAAATAAATAAATAAAATATTTTTTTTAAAAAGTGAACTAGATAACCAAAGTTTTCATCCTTGGGCAGTCACCTAGAATGCTGACAAAGCAATTTTATTATCAAATGTAGGATTCAGTGTCATAATTCAGTGTTTGTTTTCAGTTGCATGGCTTATAAATGTTTTCTTTGTCCTTTTAATTCCTGATAGATTGTTCTCCTATTGGCCTGATGGGTTTCAAAACCACTGTGAATCGATACAGACCATCTCCATGATAGATACATGTGTCTTTTGTTTTTCCAAATCTTGTGCCTATCTTTTTTTTTTTTTTTTTTTAAATTGGGTTGTCAGTGGAGTTGTAAGAATCTGCTGCTGTTTTTAAATTCTGGCTGGTACCCGTGCTTTCTTAGGTCCACGTAGTACAAACATTCTCTCCCGCTCCGTTACTCGCCTTTTCATTTTCTTGATCTTGTCTTTCAGAGAATAACCATTTAAAATGTTATTTTAAGGGGCACCTGGGTGGCTCAGTGGGTTAAGCCGCTGCCTTCGGCTCGGGTCATGATCTCGGGGTCCTGGGATCGAGCCCCGCATCGGGCTCTCTGCTCAGCAAGGAGCCTGCTTCCTCCTCTCTCTCTGCCTGCTTCTCTGCCTGCTTGTGATCTCTCTTTGTCAAACAAATAAAATCTTAAAAAAAAAAAAATGTGCTTTCAGTCCAGTTCATCAAACTGTTCCTTTATACTTCTTTTTTTAAAAAAGATTTTATTTATTTATTTGACAGACACAGGTCACAAGTAGGCAGAGAGAGAGGGGGAAGCAGGCTCCCTGCTGAGCAGAGAGCTCGATGCGGGGCTCGATCCCAGGACCCTGGGATCATGACCCGAGCTGAAGGCAGAGGCTTTAACCCACTGAGCTACCCAGGTGCTCCCCCCTTTTTTAATTTTTATTTTTATTTGACAGACAGAGATCACAAGTAGGCAGAGAGGAAGGCCGAGAGAGAAGAAGGAAGCAGGCTCCCTGCTGAGCAAAAAGCCTGATGCGGGACTGGATCCCAGGATCCTGGAATTATGACCTGAGCCGAAGGCAGAGGCTTTAACCCACTGAGCCACCCAGACACCCCTCCTTTATAGTTTTTGCTTTTTGTATCTTATCTAAGAAATCTTTGCTTATCGCAGTGTTGCGGGGATGTCTTGTGTACTCGCTTCAGGAAGTTTATAGTCGTAGCTCTTACGTTTAGGTTTATGGTGCATTTTCAATTTTGTATGTGGGGAGCTAAGGATTCATGTGCAGTTTTTCCATATGTGGATAACCCGTTGTTGAGACGCCATTTGTGGAACAGACTTCTTGTTTCTCGTTGAATCACCTTGGCATAAAGAGGGTCTCATTTCGGGGGATCTGCTCTCTTGAATATGAAAATAATCCTTTGGTACGGCTTACCTTTCTAAAGTTGTAGGAATTCACCTGTGTGTAGCCTGATTCTGGATCCCGCTGTGATCCCAAATTGTGCACAGGGGCTCTTGGCGGGGAGCGGGGGTGGGCGTGGATGGCTTCGATTCCTTCATCCCAGTTTCTTAAATACTAATGATGTTTCTCTCTCTCCACCTGCATTTGCTAGAAGCTGGCAAAGATCCCTGCCAGTGGACTTGGTGTGAATGTGACCAACCAGGACGGCTCCTCCCCACTTCATGTTGCAGCTCTGCATGGGCGGGCAGAGCTCGTCCCCCTCCTGTTGAAACATGGTGCCAGTGTGGGGGCCAGAAATGCGAACCAAGCTGTCCCGCTCCACCTGGCCTGCCAGAAGGGCCACTTCCAGGTACAGGGTCTTTCTCCTGGGCAGAAGGCATGGGTGCTTGCTCTTGGTTGGAGCTGTCCGTGCTGGGAATGCTGCAGAGAGGCAAATTTGGGGGCAGGCCCAGAGCACAGACACATGTCCTTCCTCCCAGTCCCAAGATTCTGCGCTACCCAGGGCAGGACTACTCAGCAAGAGAATGCAGAACTCTGGTTGTTCTGGGGGTGGGCCTTCCCCCTTCCCCTTCCCCTCCCTGCTCATCCCCACCCCCCACTCCACTGCCAAGCACCTCTCAGTGGCACAGAGGCCCTATCCTGATTCTGACCCCAGCAGGAGCAGTCTTTGGTGCTTGGGTGTTGGTCATTGAGGGCTCTGCCTGCAGCTTGGCACCTTTCATCCCCACAGCTCTTGGTCTTTGTCAGACAGTTTAGGACTTTGTTATTTTTTTTAAAGATTATATTTTTTTATTTGAGAGAGAGAGAAAAATAAAGCACAAGCAGGGGAAGGGGCAGAGGGAGAAGCAGACTCCTCGCTGACCAGAAGCCAAAACAGGGCTCGATCCCAGGACCCTGGGATCATGACCTGACCTGAGCTGAAGGCAGATGCTTAGCTGACTGTGCAACCCAGGCACCCCAGTTTAGTACTTTATAGTCAACGACCCTAAGGCGGAGGTACAGGAGAGTGTTGGGGTCCGTTATCAAAGGAACGAGACTGAGACAAAGTGGAAGTTATGCAAGGCCTTATTCTATGCCAAGCATTAGAAGTCAGACTGACCGGCCAGGGGAACGAGACTGAGACAAAGTGTAAGTTATGTAGAGCTTTATTCTATGCCAAGCATTAGAAGTCAGACTGACCAGCCAGGGCCGCCTCCGAAGAGAGCAACCCCCTCCAGATCTCACAGGCTGGTTTTATAGGGCATAACCGCAGACCGAAGGTATGTGGCTTCTATTGTTAAGGCGTTTACTCCCAGAATCGATACCCGGAACCATACCGGGAACTACTGGGGCGTTTATTCCGGGAATGAAGTCCATGGATGTAAACAACAGTATGGCTACCTAGGCAATATGGAGTTGCTCTGGCTAAGCAGGCCCTAATAGTTAAACAGGTTTTAACATTAAATTGGCCCTAACAAGAGAATTGTGAAATGATTGACTTTTTCAAAGTCCTATATTTTTTTCTGAAAATTGCCTCTTTAAAACAATTTTTCCCTTATAGCTCTACTGTAAGCTTTTAAAGGCAGGAACCAGGGGTGCCTGGCTGGCTTAGTTGGTAGTGTGTGTGACTCCTGATCTCAGGGTCATGAGCTCAAACTCCACGTGGGGTGTAGAGTTTACTTAAAAAAAAAACAAAAATAAAAAATAAAAGAGAGGAACCAAATCAGGTCTTCCATCTTTCTTGTGACACCTAACATTGTACTTCAATTGCCAGTATCCCAGTCTACAGAACTGGAGTGATAATTCCAGTCCTCCATAGGGCAGGTCTAAGGATGAAATGGAAAAAAAAAAAATAGCGCCTCCCACATTGCTTGGTGGAGGAGAACGTCAGCAGATGTCTGTTGCACCCCACTTGAGTTGGTTGGCTTTCTCCCGAGAGTCAGACATGTGTCCAAAAAGCCTTCCAAATAAACTTAGAGAAAAGTCAAAAGGATATCCTGTTAGAGGATTTTTTCCACAGATTAAATTTTTTTAAAAAGGTTTTTATTTATTTATTTGAGAGAGAGACAGCGAGAGAGAGCATGAGAGGGGAGAAGCAGACTCCCTGTGGAGCCGGGAGCCCGATGTGGGCCTAGATCCTGGGACTCTGGGATCATAACCCTAGTTGAAGGCAATCATGACCCTAGTTGAAGGCAGTTGCTTAACCAACTGAGCCACCCAGGTGTCCCACAGATTTAATTAAGGCTGGAATTTTGTCTTCTCTGGGATAGGTGGTGAGGTATCTATTGGATTGTAACGCAAAACCCAATAAAAAGGATATAGGTGGAAACACACCCCTCATTTACGCTTGTTCCAGTGGCCACCACGAAGTCGCGGCACTGCTGTTACAGGTAAGGGCCTCCCAGCCCTGGAGCTGCCGGTACTTGTCGGTCGTGGGTGCTTCATTTCCTGGCATTCCCTTTTTGTTGTTTAGAGAGAGAGAAAGAGAAGCAGCGCATGGGAGCAGGGGGTGGGGGCAGGGGCAGGAGGAGAGAGAGAGAATCTCAAGTAGACTCCATACCCAGCGCAGAGCCTGACATGGGGCTCGATCTCACGACCCTGAGACCATGACCTGAGCCAAAATCAAGAGTTGGATGCTTAACCGACTGAGCTGCCCAGGACCCCTCTGGCATTCCTTTTGATTGCACTGTTCCTCCTTCTAGCACGGGGCCTCCATTAACGTCTCTAACAATAAGGGTAACACAGCACTGCACGAGGCCGTGATAGAGAAGCACGTCTTCGTGGTGGAGCTGCTGCTGCTTCACGGGGCATCAGTGCAGGTCTTGAACAAGAGGCAGTGCACCGCCATGGACTGTGCTGAGCAGGTGAGTGGGTGCGCCCGTGCGGCTCGCTCAGGTGAAACCACAACTGAAACAGCTGGAGCCGACCTTTGAATTGGGATGCTGGGCTAAGTCCGTGTGCCGGGAGCGTGCAGTGGGTTGAATATCCAGTCCTTGGTCCCTGGGTCAGAGGTGGCCTGCTCAGGGAGCCAGGACTCAGTCTTTCAGGACTCGCTTTCAAAGGGCTGAGTGGAGGTGCTCCCCCGGCCACTGCAGGTGTCAGCGCTCTGCTCCGGTCCCAGGGCACAGGATGGCTGATCCGGGGCTCATGCTCCCTGGGCTGGGACTGCACCTGGGGTCTTAGCACAATAGAGAATGTTCATTCAGTTGTGGTTCTAAGTCTCCCGGAGTTATTCTCCCTGTAAGGGGAATTGTGATGAGCAGGTCAGCTCTCCTTCCCGTGCTGTGGGTGTTTGCGCAGGGTACTGGTGAGGAGAAGGCCTCCTCTCCTGGGAGAAGCAAGCCCTCTATTGTCACCATTTTCACGTAGAGTCTTTCTGTTTTCGACTCCGGGTAGACAGCTGGTCGGCTGTTAAATGACATGGTGTCACGTGAAAGTCACCAGAAACCCAGCGTACTCAGGCTTATCATGTTAATTTTCAGTGTCATTTCCTAACAGAATCAAAGTATTTTAAACCTTCCTTGAGCACTTTCTCAAATGATGGTAAGGATGAGTGTTTTTTTATCAAGTACTTACCATGTGCTGGGCTGGCGAAAACCCCGGGATAACTCTGGAGTGAGAGATGCCATTCTCAGCCCCATCGCACAGGGCAGCTAAGTACCCGGCCCAGGTTCCCTAGTAGAGCCAGAGCCAGGCTCCAAGGGCAGGGCTGCTCTCACCACGAGGCTCTCTGGCGTCAGCTTTGCCTCTACCTGCCTGCTTAGCTTCTCTGCCCAGCTGCACCAGTACTGACAGATTAAAAACAGGCTGTAACCTGCTAAGAATTAAAGATCAACTGTTAACCTTTTCCCTTTCCAATTGTAGAATTCAAAAATAATGGAATTACTTCAGGTAGTACCAAACTGCATGGCCTCAGCAGATGATGTTGGCGAAGCAGACCACAAGGAGTACGTGACTGTTAAGATCAGGAAGAAATGTAAGAATTTGCATTCTCTCTGTAATTTTCAACGTGGGCATGTTTGGAAATTCATGAGTAGTCGCTGGTGCTTGTTTAATTGTGAGGGTGGAATGTCATTATACTCACGACTGGGGGTGGGATAGGGCACCAAAGAAACATATGTTACAGCCTCACTCATCAGCTTGTTTTGCTACTGGTTTTCTGGTTGACTGGGATGATGCTTCCTAAGGGAATAAGGTGGCCACTCCAAGCCTCACCTTTGATGGCTCAGGCCTTCCCTGCCAGCTGGAGAGGAGCCGCCGCCTCTGGGAGATTCTTATGCGCTACATGGCCCAGACCCAGGCCTTTTTCTAAGCATTTCCTGGACATCTGGGGCTCAGTGTTTCCTGCTACCTTTCAAGGTTTAATTTATTTACTTAATTTGCAGGCATACAGAGATTTTTGGTAATTAGAACAGTAGTTGCCAAACATGGATAGGGCTGAAGTATTTTAAGTTGTTATAGTCTAGATAGGGCCCATGCTCTGCTTTTTTTTTTTTTTTTTAAGATTTAAAAAAAAAATCTTTATTTATTTTTAAAAAGATTTTATTTATTTGACAGGCAGAGATCACAAGCAGGCAGAGAGGCTGGCAGAGAGAGAGGAGGAAGCAGGCTCCCCGCTGAGCAGAGAGCCCCACGTGGGGCTTGATCCCAGGACCCTGGGACCATGACACAAGCCGAAGGCAGAGGCTTTAACCCACTGAGCCACCCAGGCGCCCCAAAGATTTTTTTTTCTTTTTTAAAGCAATCTCTACACCCAACGTGGGTCTCAGACTCATAAGGCCAAGACCAGAGTTGCACCCTGTACCACCAACTGAGCCAATCAGGCACTCCTCTGCTCTTTTTTTCTTAGAATTAGTTTGTAGTGGAATAATGTGACTAAACCCACTTCCACTGAGGCTGCCTCACTGCTGTTGCCTGTAGCTGGAGAATATCCGTGTATTAATAAGGATGTATGTTGGGGCTCCTGGGTGGCTCAGTGGGTTAAGGCCTCTGCCTTCAGCTCAGGTCATGATCCCAGGGTCCTGGGATCGAGCCCCGCGTGGGGCTCTCTGCTCAGCAGGGAGCCTGCTTTCCTCTCTCTGCCTGCCTCTCTGCCTACTTGTGATCTCTGTCTGTTAAATAAATAAAAAAAAAAATAAGGATGAATGTTTCCTTTGGGGGGGGGGTCACACAGTAATAAATAGTTACTGATATGTTTCTTTAAGCAAATAGCAGTGCTTAAGTTTTCTAAATTTTGTTAAGCTAAGACAACTGAAAGGTTGCATCTGTGCTATACCTCTAATTCTTTCCCTGCTTTGGAAGTTTTCAGATGTTTATCCTTTTTTTTAATCTACAGGGAACTCAAAAATGTACGATCTACCCGATGAGCCTTTTACAAGACAGTTTTACTTTGTCCACTCGGGTGGTCAGTTTAAGTGAGTATAAACCTTGAGTTGATTTCTCTGCCTTTGACCCTACGTTTGCTTAAAACTCGAGCCGGTCTGGGCCCCTTCAGTGGGTTAGAGAAAATCTGCACTCACCAAATGCTGCCACCTCGTGGCCAACCAGAGCGTTTCATGCCACTTTCAGACACTGATTTCACTTTGTTTCGGGTTTCAGGGGAAGGACTTCAAAGGAGATTATGGCAAGAGATAGGAGTGTCCCTAGTTTTACTGAAGACTCTTTGCATGAGGTGAGTTATTCAATGCTGGCTTATCATCATATTTCTTAAAGCCTGGCTCTTCCAAAACGAATCCACGGTGAACACATTTCTCATTTTATGATTCCCTTTGCAAGATTTTCTAACAATTAAGAGGAGTTTGTTAGTGGGATAGCCGAGTACAGACTTCATTTATTTGAGAAAGGTGAGGGAAAATGGGAAATGGAGGTACGCGTGGAGAGAGGCTATGGCTCGTGGTGCGTGTACTTGGTGAAATGGTCAGCTTCCGCGAGTGACTCACGGATGTCAGGAGGAAACCATGTTTACATATAGAAGGGTAACAAACTTCTCCAGATGTGGTCTAGAGCTGCTCATATGGACAACTCCGCATGTGGCCCTCTTCCTACGGCACCACTTACTCAGTTACAGAGATGCTTGCTTGACGTTCTGTCATAACATTAGGTGACTCTTCTCAGAAACGTGACTTTTCTCTTGTTCCTTGCAATCTATGACTTGATGAGAAGCAGACTTTACAGCAAAGATACAGAAGTTCTGAATCTTTGTTATAGAGAATTAAAGCGATGTTTGTTAACCTGACTCATTTCGATCTCTTCTGTAACCTTTCGTGACTTTGCTAACAGATGTGCTGCTGCATGGGAAACCCGCAAACTCTGACATCTGCTTGGGTTCCGTCAAGCGCTTTCCCCTTGTGAGCTGTGGGACTTCATGCAGCTTGCTTCCATTTGCTGATCCTGCGTCCTCAGCTGTAAATGGGGACAGCAGTTAGTACACCCCTGTTAGTTATAGAGTCATTGTGCAAACAGGTAAAGCGCTGATGTTGTGTCTGGCACACGGAGTACACACATGTCATCCTGTCCCCACGGGGATGTCAGAGCCAAAATGATGCCCAGAAAGTACCAAGCACGTTGGGTGACAAGCAGCACCCAAGAGCGCTGTTCTTGTGTGGTTCTTGTTTAAACTGCAGTGCAAGTGAACTGCTTGAATTGTACCATTTCTTCAGCCAGGGAGGCAAAGAGTCACAGGGAGACGGGACAACCTGCCAGACCACAGCAGATCTGAGAGTGCGGACAGAGGGCACGGCAATCAGCCCGAGGGGCCTGGACCGAGACAAAGTGTTCCTTCAAACAGGCGGAGGCTGCGCAGACACACAGTCGAGGACGCAGTCGTACCCACGGGCCCAGGGACAGCTGGCAACCCAGCCACTTCTAAGGTCACGTCCCAGTCTTAGCAGTGATAAGCGGTTATTGTGTTGCTGCCAGGAGAGTCCTCGGCAAGGAGGCGCCAAGCAGGAACACAGCTGAGAACTGAAATGTACTTTCTGTTGGATTTGCAAGAAAAGCGGAAAGTTCCTGAAAGCTAGCTGTTCTGTGGCTGAGGGAAGGAATGCGACCAAGAAAACGATCCTCTCTTTCCTCCCCAAAGCTAGTGCGTACGCTGGAAAAGGAGTGCACACCGATTCCGGCCGTGTCCAGATCCGTAAGAGCAGGCGTAGGTTTCTTCTGAAGCAGCGGGCGCTCCCTGACTACCATGCAGAGTTTCATGACCAGATCGCGACCTCCTCCTGACGAAAGGTGCTAGCATCTGTGATGTGGACAAATAAGCAAACCACAGGCTGAAAAAATTTCTTCATTTGGGATCCACTGAAGAGAAGCAGTTAGGTTTCATGATACCGTGGAGGCAGGCAGAAGCGACACATGGGAACGAGGAAAAGAGGACTGGGAAGTGTTCCTTTGCAAAGCAGCACTTGAACCCAAAGATGCCTACATGCTGTTGTGATGTTCATTTTCATGGAAAGGACATTTAGGATCTATTCTACACTATGTATGTGGGAAAAGTTGGGTATAATTTTTCTTCCAACAAAGTACAGATATTTGATCACTGCACCTACGCACCTATATCAGCGTCTCTCGAGACACAGCCCCTTCCGTTAAAAAACCTCCCTTTGTTGTCATACCTGATGGATGGTTATGAACAAGAGAGATTTGGCACATCTTTTCTTAGTCTTTTGATTCCGATTCAAAACTTACAGCACAAACCAGGTCAGAGTTACTTTCAGTTAGAATTTATTGCCATTTATTCCTTTTTATAAATTTCTATAGATTTTACTCTTATTTTTTTATGTTACTAATTGGTCTACAGCTGCAAACATGGGTTTGTCCTGAGTACATTTTCAAATAACTTTGTAATACGGAAATGGTTTTGTGCACGTTCTTGGAAATACTTGCTTATGTATAGAAGGGAGGGGCTGATTATTTTTCTACAAAGTAATTTATGATTTCTAATTTTCTAATGTGCCTTGGATATGTGCCAAATGATGGGAAAGAAGCAGTAAACTTTATGATTCTTGAGTGTGTCATGGTACACTTTTTTAGTGAATGTCTTGCTCTGCAGAGAGGTATTTCTCAGCCTGTCTGCTATAAACATGGGCTCTTTGTATGGGAAGATCTTCTCCCATTGGATGATTATACATTTTTCAGTTACTGAGGTCACTGAGATATGTAAACTGGATCATTCTGAGCAGACCATTATCTATTCACCCGCTCAGGCCTGAGTTAATCTAGTAGGTGCAATAACTCGGGCCCATAAAAATGTCTTTTAAAAAAATCAGATCAGGGGCGCCTGGGTGGTTCAGTGGGTTAAAGCCTCTGCCTTCCACTCAGGTCATGATCCCAGGGTCCTGGGATTGCACCCCGCATCGGGCTCTCTGCTCAGCGGGGAGGCCTGCTTCCCCCTCCCTCTCTGCCAGCCTCTCTGCCTGCTTGTGATCTCTGTCAAATAAATACATATTAAAAAAAAAGAATCAGATCAAAAATGAATGTAATACAGCTTCTTAGCCCAAACAGAAAGTAAGCACAGTTGCTTTGCAAATTTCTTTGTTCTCATTTAGTTTTCCTCCTTTCTCCTGGTTTTAAAACAAAACCACCTTACTGGCAAGTTGTTTTGGTTCACTGCCACCCTAATTAAGAAACTTATCAGCATAGCCAGGTTGCAAATACGCACATTGGTGTCACCTGATTTTTGGGGTGGTACAATATAATTTCGAAAACTTTCACGTGTATCCCCCATTTAATTCTAACAATCGCCCTGATTGGTAGAATTGTCAAATGAAGAAACAGGTTCAGAGAAAAAAGGGGGCTGATTTGCTTGCCCCATCAGAGCTGCAGTCAAGGCCTGCTTGGCGGGGTCATGTGAATTGGCAGTTTCCAACATGGTGTGTCCTTCCTTTGGAGATATAAATACCTTGAATGAGACAGTTTTAGAGGAGAAGCTGCTTAAACTACTCTTGTTATCAGCAGGGAAAGCCACCTGAAGTGACCACTTCAATTATTTTTAAGAACACTTGCTTTTCTCTGCTTGCTTTCCCACTTGAAACTAAACTTGATTTGATAACTCAAATTGGTAATGCCCAAATTTCTACTGTGTAAGAATGGTTTGAATTCAAAGTACTGTCAATTAAAGTAGAAAGAATAACCAGTCTCCATTTCCTAGGCCAAAGTGTACTCTACCCCCTTTCTGTCTTCCAGAACTTTTATCTGTGTGTAGAGAACCACTTTCCATTTGGGGGTATCTGGAGGACAGGACAAGGGTTTGACAGTTTAAACACATTCACATAGGTATTTGCTGTCCAGACAGTGGTTATTCTGAAGGGGGAAGCATGTGACAAAAACTTGCTGAGAATGTGTTTTTATGTAAATGAGACCTAAAGCAAAGTTCACCTCTATAGGGATGTTTTTTAAAATCCCTGAAGGAAACTTGGGTTTCCCTAAATGTTTACTTATAAAGAAACTTTACTGCTCCTTTAAAAAAAAAAAAAAAAAAAGGATGGTAACAGTTCTGCTCATTCATTGCTAGATGCTCCAACACTTTTTTTCTGGGCCGCAGTTCCAAATATCAAGTCCCAAAAACAGTAACCTCTCAAATAAACAATTTAAACATAGATCAGCGGTATGCTAGCTAAAGCAGAGACTGGGATTGTAAACCACTTTTCCTGTTACTCTCCTGCTACTAATCCTATTCACCTCATAAAATGTTACGAAATTCCTCCTGGGGCTGGAACCTCTAAGCCGTTACACCAAACAGCCCACCTGACAGGTCAGTTTAAAACACAGAAGTTTCAAAACCTAGTGGGAGGAAAGCACAATGTAAGAGATGCCATTTAACTTACCTGCAACTTTGTCAGTGAAGAACTCAGAATATTTCTACCAAAAAAAATTTTTTTTTCTTTTTAAAGATTATTTATTTGACAGAGATCACAAGTAGGCAGAGAGGCAGGCAGAGAGAGGAGGAAGCAGGCTCCTTGCTGAGCAGAGAGCCCGACGCGGGGCTCGATCCCAGGACCCTGGGATCATGACCCGAGCTGAAGGCAGAGGCTTTAACCCACTGAGCCACCCAGGTGCCCCTCTACCAAAATGTTTAACTGCTAATTGTCTTTTATTTAGGAGGCACTTCTCTTAACCAACATGCTTGTTACTGTTGAAGTACTACTACCAGCATCTCCCAGTTACTGTGGTAATTTTCTGCAATGCAAGTATCACTCTAGTTCAGACTGTCTTGGGTAGGGATGATATTTGTCAGATCACTTGATCGCAATGCCTTTAAAAAAGATTATAAATGAGGGGCACCTGGGTGGCCCAGTGGGTTAAAGCCTCTGCCTTCTGCTCAGGTCATGATCCCAGGGTCCTGGGATCGAGCCCCGCATCAGGATCTCTGCTCAGCAGGGAGCCTGCCTCCCTTCCTCTCTCTCTCTCTCTCTGCCTGCCTCTCTGCCTACTTGTGATCTCTGTCAAATAAATTAAAAAAAAAAAAAAGATTATAAATGAAACCAAAGCTAGGCATTTTCTTAAATTAAATGTGAGTACTACCTTCAGGAAGAATAGTTTACCTGGTTTCAGAACTTAGGTCTTGGAAATATTAGACGTTAAGTACTAAAGTTGATTCCTCTTAATCCGTGCATTTTAACTACCATGATGTTACTGGATGCTATTTTCTTCTTACTGAAGAGTAAGCTGGCTTCTATTTGTGCAAAGGCCACTTTCCTACCTAACGCTAATGTCACAGTTACAAAGGATATATTCATGCTGCTACACATTTCGAAACTTTAGGTAGGAAAGAAAATTCAAAATGCAGATCTGTTCATTCAGCTATGATACAAAAATAACTGCCCAAATTGTTCTATTTTGCGTAACAAGTTTATTTTTTTAAAAGGCATATAGACAATAAACAAAGTAAACAATCAGATCTTCACTTCTACCCAGTATTATCTGTCCTAGAACATTAAGTTCCAGTCTCTAAACATCTTAAATTTCAATAATCGTCCTCTTCATCAGAGTCCATGACTTTTCTTCTGTTGAACTGGGGGGAGGGGGAAATTAAACGAGGGTCATAACATGTTTAATAAAGCATAACTCAGACTTTATGAGAAGAACAAGGTCTACCTACTACAGCAAGACACTGCATCTTTAAAACAGCTTAGTGTTTTAGGTCTTGCAGGGAAGGGGAACACCAGACGCCTCAGCACATGCAACCTTTCTCCCCCAACTTTCACCTCTTACAAAATGGAAGTGTTTATGAGCTGAAACACGTTTTTGCTACAACAAATGTATATTTAACACTTATCACTTAAAATAGCAATCTTTTTCTTTTGCCATGAGCATATGGGGACACTTACTTTAACTGTGGTTTTCTTTTCTGTTTGTTGGCTTACTTTTTCAAGGATTTCTATTAAACCTTGTTCTGATACCTAGGATAACCAGAAAGAAAAACAGTACTTTTTTTAAACAAAGTGTTTACATTAGTACACTGAACGGTTTTAGTTTTCCTGGGATGTGGGGGCAGAGGTCAAAAGGGAAGGGAAGGCAAGATGGGAAGTTCTAACTATTGGTTTAACTTCCAAAAAATTTTGATCTTCTAGCTTCATTTGAGGAGGGTGGGAAGTAGCCATCAAAATTAGCTTTTGCAGAAAAATCTGAAGTTAACATTGCTGAAGAACACCTTTATCACCACTAGCTGACAATGACAACCACTTATGCCACTGTGTTAAGGGTCAGGAACAGAGACACATTGCCTCTGTGGTTGAGAAGTTTAAATGCAGGAGGGAAGTCACTCAGAAAAGATGAACCAGTCGTTGTCTCTTCCATGCATGCTCTTAGAGTAAAGGGTTCAGGGCAGGACTGATTCCCGCAGGCTGCAGTGGCAACAGGTGGTTTCAGGTGCAGGTGGGGCTCATCTGGATCTTGAAGGAAGGTCAGGCTCACCAGTATATACTCATAATGGCATTACAGCAGCACACGTAAGAACCAAAAATTTCAGCACCTCCTCATTTGCAAAGCAAGCTTAACTTCTACCTACATTGGTAGTATTTAATGGATATTATTGACAAACCTGTTTCCAGTGTAGAAGCAATTAGATGCTGACCCTAAGAGTCACTGGGTCACAAACACATCAAGGTTCCATAGCAATGTCGGTAAAGGAAAGCAGCAGAGGATTTTAGGAAAGGCAATTAGTTATTTAGGATTTATGGCAGATGCTACAATTCTCTCCTCTATAAACTGCCTCACTGAAACAGTTAACAGGAAGTTCTTTAACCTTTCTGAAAACTGACCTTTTGAAGGTATTTTTTTGATAAAAGTTAGGTAAAGAATAGTAAAATTGCCTCAAGGCAGTCCAAGCTTACCTTCCCACTTAGTTGTCCAAATCTTGCCATCTGTATGAGGTAATTCTCTACTGCTTTAGTTTTTTCGGGCTTTACAAGTGCTAAGTTACTTACTAAAAAGAAAAAGGAGGAGTCAAAACTAAATGCACTTATAGAACTTAAAATTATGCACTGACATTTCCAGAGCACTTCACAGACATGTTTTGAGACTAGTAAGGTAGGTGAGACAGATGGTACTACTACCCCGCTTAAAAAGGGGAAACAAGTTCAGCCATGCCAACCTCAGTCAAAGCCACACAGAGGTAGTGGGAGAGCCAAGATTAAACTTGGGCCCTGGGATTCAAAGCCTGATGCCTACACATACATCATTGTGATGCTCCATCTAAGGTTGCTTCTAAGCTGGGCTTCGAGTTACAATACGAAAGATACTAGTTCATTCCAATTGGCTTATTTTATTTTTCTACACTGTTTTGGTATTACGAAGAATTATGAACATACACTGAAACAGAGACAATAACCCCTGCCCAAGTCCCCATCACCCACATCAACTACCAGCCACATTTTGCAACTGACTCGATTTACAAGTTATTTCCTGTAAATCTTACCTAATATGCACTTGGAGATCATCTCCTTCATAAGAGAGAACTGAGCTGGTATTTTTAATAATAATTTAAATGCATTTCCTTAGGTTTATAAA